CGCACCCACGCCGCCCCTCGCGGGGGAGGCGCCGCTGCCCAGCAGGGCGCCCCTGCGGAGCAGCCCGGGCCCGGCCAGCGCCGGGGCCGGAGAGGGAAAGGAAGCCGCTGCCGTGGCTGCACGCCGCTTCCGCGCCAGGAGCGGCGGGGGCCCCGCCGGCTGGAGAGGCTCAGCCTGCTCCGGGAGCCCTGCGGCTCGCCAGTGCGGCGCTGCAGGGCGGGAGGAGGGGGGGCGCCCTGCACGCTCTCGCGCAGCCCCGCGAGGGCTGAATGGGCTGCAGGACTCGCCGGGCCTCCCGCCGAGCTGCTCGCCGCACGGACTCCTCCACGTTTCTTGTGTCGGAACCTAAAGCCAAACCTGAAAGCTAAACGGAGCGCGCACAGGAAGTGGGAGGGAGGCCCTGCCGAGAGGAGCACGAGCAGGCGGCGAAGGCTTGCGCGGGGAGGAAGGGAGGCGGGCGGGGTTGGGGCCCGTCGCCCGGGGGGGCAGCCAAGGGCTCTTGGCGCCTGGGCCTGCGAGGGGCCCCGGGCGCGTCCATCGCCCCGCCGGCCTCGGCCTGCTCGCCGGCAGCAGCTCCTGGCAACCCCGCGCATGAAGGACTCCTGCAGGGCAGAGCGGCTTAACAGGTCCCAACCGCCAGGGAAGGAAGGCCTGCCGGGGGATTTCCTCACCCGTCCACACCCCCCCTTGTGCCCCAAGGCACGGACCCGACGGAGGCGGTGCTGTGCCCCGCAGGGTGGGCCAGTGACCCGCCGGGACGGCCACGGTTGCCAAGGGGGCCCTGAGCTGCCCCAGGGACGGCGGCCTCCACAGGGAAGCCGGGGCCCCGCGACCCGCGTCCTCCCGTGGGCTGTCTCGGCCGGGGGCCAGAGGGGTGGGGGTGGCACGTCACCCGGCCCATGCAAGGCCGGGGTGCTTGTTCAACGACGTGCCTGGTGGGCAGAGCTGGGACATCCCCGCCTCCTCCTCGGCGTCCACGTCCAGCCCAGGATGAGCGTGAGTAGCGCATGCACGCCACCCGCTGAAGGCAGGTGCGGAGGAGGCTGCCTGGCGAGGGGGAAGGTGGGTCGCCGGGTGCCTGGCGAGGGGTGTGCCCATGGGTGCCATCGCTCGGTTCTAGTTGCGGCTCTGTGACGCACCTGCATGAGCAGCAAAGAGCGTGGCCGGGGAAGCCACGTCAGCCCGGAGCGATTGCGGTGTTCACACTCGTGGCAGAGTGCCAGTTGCATCTGTGCCTGGTAATGGGTAATCTGCGGAACGGAAATTCAGGTTCGGAAAGTCCTGCTGGGACTCGCCAGCTGTGAGCGGCCTCGCAGGGTTTCATGGGCTCCTGGATGGAAGGCGCTGCCCAGGGCCTGTGCCTCGGGCAGGCCTTGGCTGCGGGCACCGTGCGCTAGGTGGCCATCGATGCTGCACATGCCCTGTGATTTTCAGATTTGGCAGGACTGGGCAGCCAGGGTGCGTCTGACAGCGGCGACTGCAGTGTGGGGAGCCAACAGTTTGAAGCTGATGTTGAGGAATAGGGTCTTTCGAGCAGCCCCTCCCTCTGAACGCCACAGGGGGCTCGCCTCTGGTCACCCGCCCCCCCCCGAGGGGGAGCAAGCTGGCCTCAGTCCCGCCTGCGCAGACGGTTCGTTCAGCCGGTGGGATTCTGAGCTGCCCAAGTGCCGTGGACTGAGTGGGCTGTGGGGTGAGGCCGGTACTCGCCTGGGAGGTTCTGGGGGCTTTGCCTCCCCCCAGTCAGAAGCATTTGGGGCCTGGCCGCTGAGCATCCTTGTCAGGCCGCCAAGCCCCACTGCGCCCCCGAGGCCGTGGCAGGGCCCCGCGGCACTCGTGCAGAGCCGCCTGGCAAGCGCCTGGGTGAGCTGCCAGCCCACAGGCATGAAAGCGAGAGCGCTTCCCCTTCTGCCGAGCCCAGCCGGCCCGTTTGATGTGGCGCGTTTCTGACTGCTGCGCATGAAGCTCATCACAAACCGCGAGGCTCCCTCTGCCTTCCATGCCACTCGGGTTGTGGCCTCCCCGCCTGGGGCCGCGGGCCCCCCTGCCCTTGCCCACCACTCGGTGCCCCCCTCTGCTGGAGGGACCTCGGCCCAGGCACGAGGGCCGCTGGCTTCCCCCTGCTCGTGGCCGCAGCCGAGGCCCAGACCGAAGCGCTTGCCTTGGGGTGCCCCGGGCTGGCCAGGGCCGCTGTGGGGCGGGAGGCCCCCTCCCCTTCTTGGCTTCCAGTTCAGATCTCCCCAGCGTGACTGGGATGCCATTCTCAGAACTGCTGATTGTGTGAACGTGGTCGCACTGGCTTTGGCCCCCGCGTCTGCTAACGGTAGTGCAGTCCTGTCCGCTCAGACTCGGCTGGGTGGGGAAGGGCCCAGCTCCCTGCAGTCGCACGAGGGGAGCATGTGGGAGAGAAGGGGGCTCCGGCCCCCCGGCCCACTCAGGCCCTGCGTGGACGGGGCTGCAGGTGCAGCACAGGCAGCCCTGGCCGCATGTGATGCCCCACAGGCCCACGCCCAGCCGATTCCCCGGGGGGGGGGGCGGCTGTGCTGCCCCCAGGGCAGTGCCTCTTGCTGTCCCCAGGGGGCTCCCGGAGCCGGGCCTTGCTGGAAGGAAGCCTCCCTGCAAATTCTGCTCAACAGGAACGTTAGGTCGAGTCATTCTGCCACATCAAAAGACGCCACATCAGAAAACTTGCGTTCTCAGTCTTCGGTGTGAAAGGCATTTTCCCCTCCCAAAGGCTTCCCCCGAGTAACACAAGGTTGGCCTGAGGCTGGCTCTTGACAGAGGTTGACTCTTGGCCGATTCCAGAGCCGAATCGGGGCTAAAAGGCTTGTGCTGTGAGGCTGTCGTGTGCCGGGATGGCCGGCTCGGAGGAGCCCCGCCTGGCCTCCCCCGGCGTGTGGAAGCGCCTCCAGCGGGTGGCTGGGCCTGGCTGGTTTCAGCACAGCTCCCGCCGTGGCATCGCTGAAGGCAGTGGGATGGGGTCCCAGAAACATGCCGGCACATCTTATCTCACAAACTCTGCTCTTGCAGCCTCTTCCTGCCGCTCATCGAGCTTTGCGCGAGGCATGGCAGTGTCACGGGGAAGGAAGAAGACGCACCCAGAAGCCGGGAAACTGCCAGCAGCGGTGGGAAGGGGCCGTGGCTCGTGGGGTCTCCTGGGGCGTCAGACGGGGCTGTGGCCTGCAGCTTGGCCCCTGGCTGAGGCCGCGCATCGCGCTTCCGACATCTTTGCCGTTCCTGCTTGCAGTTCAGAGAGCTCCACCGGTGGGGTTTCCAGCAGCGGCAGGAAGCACCGTGACTGCGCTGGGGGTGGGGGGTGGCGCACTGAAATGGGCCAAGAGCGCCCCACAGAAGGCGAGGGCTCTGGAAAGGGGGCCTGTTTGTTGAGAAAGCGAGTGTGGGTTTTCCATCCCGTGATAAAGCGCTGTGACCCAGTGTCGCCTGTGGCCACAAACTGGCGCATCAGTGCTGCTTTTCGGAGAACCGCATTTCCGAGAAAGCAGTGGAGGGCTGGCTGGCTGCCTCACTCCGCGTGCGCCAGGCGCCGGGGCCTCACGTCCGCACCCGCCCTTCATGCAGGCAGCCCGGCCCGCCCCCGGCCCGGCCCCACGGAACGCCGGCTCCAGCCCCGGGGGGCTGCTGCCCCAGAGCGCGCCAGCCAAGCAGAGGAGCAGGACCTTCCCTCAGCCCCGCTCCGCATGTGGTCGTGGACAAGGCCCCGCCTGCGGCTGCCCTGAGAATACCCACGGTCTGGCAGCGCAGGCCCCCATCAGCCCTGGGGGATCACCATCATCCCGAGTCCCTTGGAAGGCCGGGGACGTCTAGCAACTCGCCCACCCCAGGGTTGCCTCGTGGGTGGCCACCTCGCCAGTGCTTCCCATCACATCCAGTTCCCAAATGCGCCGGGCACGTCGGTGCCAGCTCGGGGGCTGTGCCACAGGCTCCCACTGATTTGATGGGGCCTGGAAAGCACCTTCCACCCATGCCCCTCCCCCCACATTGCCCCACGGCTTCTTCCATCTTCCTTCTTACCAAAATACGTCTGTTCTGGAGGAAGCCGTGGAACGGCCACAGTGGGCTTTGGCCAGGAGCACCCGGAGAGTCTGTCCGGGAGCCCCTTGGCCTCGGTGCGCACCCCGGGGCGGGGGGCGGGGGGGTGGGGGCTGGAAAAGCCGAGCCTCTCCTTGCTGGCGCAGGCTGCGCACTGGGCTTCAAACTGGAGGCGCAGGAGGTATTTCAACCCTTGTAATTTACAGTCATGGTGCCCACCAAGATTGAAAACTGCCACCCCTGCGTGAAGGACAGCCAGCCCTTTCGAAAGGCAACCGACAGCGACAATCAACCACCGGCGTGCGGGAAGCCCCCCCAGCCGCTGCCGCTGCCTGCAGGCATGAGCTGCCACACAACCCACGCTAATTTCTTTCTGCCAATTTCTTTCTGCCATCGTTTATTTGACGCGCACCCGCCCTTCTGCCCGAAGGGGATATTCAAGGCAACTTGCAGAAGAGTTAGCACAGCCCTCACACCAATGCACATCCTGAGGGGAGGATCTGGTGGACCCCCCTCCCCGAGGGCCTGCCGCCCCCCCCCCCCCCCCAGGAGCCTTGGCCCCTCGCACCACAGGGCCAGCCCAGGGAGACTCCTGCCCGCTGCTCCCCGGCCAGGAGGGATGAGGGCAAGGGGCATGTGGGGGCGGTGAGGCGAGGAGCCTGGAGGGGCCAGCAGGGGAGGGACCCCGGCCCAGCTGCCTCCTTCCCTGCTTTGAGGCCCCACGGCTGGGTGGCCGAGGGTGGCCGCTGAGGCAGGCGTGGGAGGGAGAGGAGTGCAGGCCGCCACCACCTCTCTCTTGCCTGGCCGGGCTGCCCTTGGAGGGTCCGCGCCCAAAACACGGCGAAGGCGCTGCCGTACCCGTCTTGGTGCACGGGCCCACGTGGCTGTCCCATTTTGCAAGGGTGGCAGAAAATCCATACCCGGTCAGGCCAAGCGTTTCCTGGCAGGTTCCGCACAGCAAGCTCCGTGTGCCGCCAGCTGGACTGTCTCCAGAACGATCCCAGGGGAAGTCAGTGTTCAGCCTGAATCTCAGAGAACCGTTTCAGGCCCACTTTGATCTTCTCAGTGACAAAAATTAATGCAAGGTGCGTGTTGCGGAAGCCTCGTCTGCAGCCCGCCACACTCCACGCTGAGCGGTCCCGGTTAGCACTCTCGTGGCTCAGATTCTCCCGTCGCCCATGCGCTGAACGTCTTTCTAAAGCATGTACAGGCCGAAGAAGGTCTTTGCCTCCTCGGGGCTCACCAGCCCGGCTTCCGAAGCATTCACGGACACACGGTCCTCCCTGGAGAGGTGGAACAGGGCGCCCAGGTAGTTGCTCCTGGCCCACATGTTCTTGGCCATGCAGTAGTTCATCTCCTTGTCCTCCATCAGCACCTGGTCGCTGGGGTACGCCGGGTTTCTCTTGAAGACCACGTGGGCGAGGGGCTTGGGCTGGCAGGTCTGGCCCCGGAAGAGGACTTTGGAGTACACAAAGTAGAGGCCAGGCTCCTCAATCACCAGAGCCCGGTTTTCGTAGCGAACTCCCGAGATGAAGGCATGTCCGTAGGAACTCTCCCAGTCTAGTGGAAGCGACTGTTGGTTCGGCTTGCCTGGAATGTCAGGCGTCCATGTGAAAATGAAAGACGGCGCAAAATCGCGTTCCTCAGCACCCACCCTGGTCCCCAAAACGGCCACGTGGCCCCAGGCTCCCGGGCACCATGCTCTGTCGAAGCGGCAGAGCTCGGGAGGGACGGGCTGCCCCGGGCCCCATCTATTCCCGTGCCGGCACACAGAGTAACTGAGCCTTGGGGGCTGGCGAGCCCTCCCCTGCCCCCGCCCCGATTCCCTGGGGGCCTGCTGTGCCTCCTGGGCCACCAGTGGCCTAGCCTGGGCCCCGGAGCGGCCGTGCCTGCCCATGTGCCTGCTGCACACGGATGCGGGGCCGCGCAGCTCCGCCTGCCCCACGGTTCGTCTCTTGCTTGAGCCCGGGACAGTTTGCCAGGGTTGCCTCCTGTCGCGTTCTCACCACCACAACAGCCCTGCGGGGTGCGTGAGGCGGGCCCACGGCGACATGAGGCGCACCATGGCTGAGCGCGGAGTGGAGCCTGGAGCACGGGGTGTCTGATCCGGCATGCGAGCCAGGACTCCCTGTCCGCCTTGCCGTAGCACCCCGCCACAGCACGTGGCCTGGACAGACGGCCTCGGCTTGCCCTGGTGCTCCCGCTGTCCGAATCCTGAGCTGAGCTTTCGGGCTTGGGTGGAGGTGGCCGGCCTGTTGCTTGGCCTGGCTGGGCAGCTGTTCGTGGCTTTGCTGGCTGAGATTGGGGGAAGGGGGGGCGTGCCTGGTGCCTACCTGTCAGGTGCGCTCTCCGCCTGACCTTCTTTTCTGGGCGCCCATTCAGGAAACCTGCATCACAGTGGAGAAGAACAGGGTGAGGCCGGGCGGCGCAGCCAGCTCCACACCACACAACATGTGCGGCGCTGACGCAGGGTCAGTGGGGGGGGGGGGGGCTGGCAAGCGCACTGAGCGGGAGTCCGGCTGGCCCTGCCATCGAGAGTCACTGAACGGGGCTGATGAAGAGGCAGGGGCCGCTCCTGGGCCACAGGGCAGGGCAGGCCCCAAGGCTGGATGTGAGAGCCACTCTGGCTGCCAGCTGGCCCAGCGGGAGGCGCAAGGGGCTCCCTGGCAGGCCAGGCAGGAGAGACCCAGAGGCCTCCCGCCTCCCCCCCCCCCGCCCAAGCAGGGCAGAGGCCCGAGTGGCTGAGCCCAGCACCAAGACGGCGTTGCCCCAGGGCACGGATGCCCTCCGAATTCTCTGACTAAGAGGAAGCATGGGGCCCGACCTACGGATTCCTCAGGAGGAAGGAGTGACACAGAGCGGGAGGGATTGCCCTCACTCACAGCTGCTGGCTGCTCCGTGTGGGCGGCTCCTGACACCACAGCAGGCCCCACGAGCTCTCGGCCTCGCCGGGCTGTGCCATCCTCCGTGCGCCCGTCCTGGGGCCCACAGATCCCAGAAGGCAGCAGAGAAGGTGGACCCCCGCAGGCGTCCCCTCCCCGCAGGGCAGCACCGAGCCCAGGGCTTCGGAAGAGATGACTCGGGAGCCAAACTTGGTCCGACAGGCAGCTCTGGCGGTTTCCTGCATGATTTGCTCAAATGAGGAGCAGTGGCTGATGCCCCAAGCCGCCCAGGTTTGCTTCTGTCAGAGACAAGAGCTGCGCGTCCCAGTAAAACACAATTCCTGTTCCAGGCCGGGAAGGGCAGGTGTGGCGGGGGGAGGGGGGCTCAGACGTCGCTGCTGCTGCTGCTGCTTCCCCTCACCCCTCAAGAAGGAGTTCTCACCTTTGAGTGGCTCTGGTGGCTGAGACACGTGTGCCGAGCTGGAAGGCTGTCAAGGGAAGAGGCAGACATTCAAACTTGGGAAGGAAAATGACCCCGGACCACTTTAAGCGGAGGTCCTCGTGCTCAAGCGGCCCTCGGTGGCACACAGTCCCCCGCTCAGCTGCGGGAGCCCTGCCGGCGGTTTGCGGCTGGCTTTCTCCACTGGTGCAACGCGGATTGGGCTTACCTTCCTCAGGGCATCCAGATCCTGCTGCTGCTGGTAGTTCTGGAACAGCGCCAGCCCGGTCCCCGTGAGCGCGAGGAGGCTCAGCGCCACCACCGGCAGGAAGCCCAGGCAGGCGCCCTCTCGGCTGCACGGCCTCTGCTTTTTCCTGTCTGGCGCGGGCAGGCACACGTCCTGCCGGGGCACGATCCCGCCGGGGCACAATCCCGCTGGGACACGATCGGAGCTAGGCACGGCACTGCTGCTTGTCCAGAAGACCTGGGGATAGACAACATGCCGGTTCTGCTGCATGTCAGGAAGGCGCGCGGGCAGAGAGCTGCGCTTCTTCGCCGAGCCCAGAGACTGCACTGCGGGGACGCCTTGCTTCTTCCTGTGCTGCGTCCTGTGCAGCACCTGCCCGACCACTGAGCAAGCCGCCTGGCTCACAGCAGAAAACCTCAGAGCCGCCACCCACTGCTCTGATGCAAGAGAACTTGGCCCTGCCTGCACGGAGGGCCCCTCCGCGACTCCAGCCAGTGGCTGCTGGCGAGGTCTGCCCTAGCGAGCCGAGAAGTGGCTCAGGTTCGCTCCTGGCCGGTATTTGGTCCCGGTGATCTCCTTCGACGGAGCAGCCACGTCTCTTGTTCTTCTTGGTCCCCTACTCTAAAACTTGGATGTTTCTTCTGTTTCAAACATCCGAGCCTTGTGCTTTTTGTTGTCACAGTTTATTTCCTTCCCCGCTTAATTTTTTTAAAGATGAGGTCGCAATCCTTCTATCTGCTCTGCTTTTTCCATTTGTCCTCCCCTTCCTTCAGTTTCATGCTCCACAGAATAGAACTGGAATGTGGTTCTCTAATTAATTGGGCTTCTTCCTGCACTTACTTCTAGAAGCTCCATTAATTCATATTTGCCTTTTCCTCTTCCTTTTTAATATATTCAAATATTTAATAAAGAAATCATACCAGTATGTGGGGCCATACAAGGTTCCCGCTTACATTCTGCTCCCCCCACCCCTTGATTGGCCACATCCATTAAAAATTATTTTCTTGTTGTTGTCAGAGGACTAATAAATGGGCAGAGCCGTCCCGGTGACCTTTGAGGAGCGGCGAAGCCATGATCTTCTGTATTCCCAGCAGCAAAGCTGGAAAGCCCCGGCTGCTCTCTGTCGCCCTTGAGGCCAAGCCCGGCCTTACTTGCTGCCCAGTTCTGCCTCACCCGCTTGGAAGTCCAACAAGAGCAAAAAGGTCGCAACAACCCTGCGGAGGACACCTAGACCAGCACTCGCCACAGCCGGGGCCGGGGGCTCACTGGACTGCCCCTGCCTGCATGTTGATGGACACTCTCAAAGAACTCCAATAGGCTTGGAGCCAAGCCTTCCCCTTGGAGAAGCCATGGTGGTCTTTAATGAAGCTTTCAAGCCAGAATAGATGTTAAGCTGACCGACCTGCAAATTCCCAGAGCCTCCCCGGCCCCCTTCTTAAAAATTGCTGCTGCACTGGCCATTCTCCAGGCCTCTGCTACAAAGGCTGATTTTAGGGGCATTACATATTTTGGTAAGAAGGACAGTGCTTTCACAGTTGAGTTTTTGGAAAACTCTAGGAGGGGGTTCTACCACCTGGACCAGGTGCCTTGCTGACTTTTAGGTTGTCAATAAGGTTGAGAATTCCATCTTTTGTCACTGCTATCGGCCCCAATTCCTGGGTCTCCCTTCCAGAATACAAAAGCTGGAGGACTTGATCCTCTGCTGCGGAGACTGACAAAAAGAACTCCTCCAGCTGCTCTGCCACCCGCTCAGCACTCTGGGATTTCCATTAGCATCCGGTGGCCCAGCTGCCTCCTTAGCCACTGTCTTTCTCTCAGGATCTTTAAAACGGCCTTCATATTGCCAGTGACCTGCCCCTCGGACTGTTTCGTGCTTCTCAGGCTGCGCAAGCTCGCGGCCGTTCGTCTCATTTGGGCGAGCCCTCAGGTGGGGCGGGGGGCTGGGGGCTTCCTTCCCCCAAAGAGCCTGAGCCAACCGAGCGGTGCCTTCCTGGACTTGGCACTGCCTTTCCCTCGGGCAGGAGGCTCGCCATCCGCGCGTCCACTGTCGCTTTTTGAGAAATCTCGAGGCGCTGCGAGAGCGAGCTAAACGCCCTGATTCTCCATGTCAGCTGCTTCTTCACCAGTTCCTGCGTTTTTGAGAAGCTTCCGCTTTTGAGGTCAAGAGTTGCTCACGCGGCCTCCTTGGCAGGCTTCCTCCTGTGCATCGGATCTGAGCGCAGCGCGGCCGGGTTCCTGGCAGCGTTGCGCGCAGCTCCGCGCCCTCCCTCCTGGGCCGAGCGCTCCTCCGGCTGCAGGGGCCGCCCCGGCGCAGAGCGCGGGCAGCTCGGCAGCCCGGTCCCGGCGGGGCCGCGTGGGGGCGCAGCGGCTCCTCGGGCCGCGCACCGCGGGGGGCGCGCCGCCGCTGCGTCAGGAGCAGCCCGCCCGCGGCCCCTGGAAAGAGTGAGTCTCGCCTGCCCACAGCAGCTGCGGTCTGGGCCGGTGCCTCAGGCGTTCCGCCAGGCGCGGAACAAGCGGCCGCCGATGGCTGCTAACTTGTTCCATGCGCTGCGCTCTGGCGCCTTCTGTTTACTCCACAACTCGCGGCCATCGCCGAGCAAACAGAAAAAATGATATTTCACATCGCACTCGGTGCGACGCTTCGCTTGGGCTTGCAATTTCGAGAAAGGGAACGAGCCAAGAGCCCCCCGCGGCGCGCGGTTCGCCTGCCGGCGCAGGACTCTCCCCGCGGGCTCCGGGCCACGGCGGGCAGGCAGCTCCCCTTCCCCGCTCGCCCTTCGGGGCCGCACCGGCCTCCCCGCAGCAGGGACGGGCTCGAGGGCGCCCTCGGGAGTCCTGGCAGCGCCCGGGGACGACTCCGCCCGGTCTCTGCGGCTCGGGGCGCCGGCGCCCTGCGCGCCCCCGCCCAGCTGCCCGCGCTTCAGGGCGCTGCGGGAGCGCGCGCCTCCCCAGGCAGCCCGCTCTGCCGGGGGCGCGCTGCCACCGCCCGCCCCACCGCCATCTGCCCGGCGCCCGGCTTCCCGGTCGCCGACGCGAGGCGGAGAGCTGCGGGGCGGGGGCGCGGGGCAGCGCGAGGCGCGGAAGCCAAGAGCTGGACCGGGGCGGCCGCGTACGCCTGGGGGGCGCGTCGCCGCGGGCCTTCTCTTGTAGTCCTTCGCCTGCCCCTTTCCCGGATTTTCAGTGCTTTTCCAGATGGGAAAACCCGAGTCGCGCCCACTATCGGAGACGTGCCCACGTGACACCCCCGCTGCTTTGCTTGTGGCCCCTTGGCCAACAGCCCCCAGTGCGGAATGTGGGCGATTCACGGAGGGAGCCGCTGCCCCAGGGCCCTCGGCCAGGTAAATGCCCCGGGGCCCCGGGAGGGAACGGACGCCTCGGCACTTGGCCCTTGTGTGGAACCGCAATGGCTCAGAAAAGGCCTTCTGCCAGCAGCAGCAGCCGCCCTCCTGCGTCATCGGGTGCACTCGCCTCTTCTGCGCCCCTGGCAACGGCAAGAACCCCATAAATTAAAGGAGAAGAGAGAGGCGCCCCCACGGAGCTCACTGACAAGCGCTGCCCGCACAGGACATCCCACCCAGCCGGTCTGGGTGGTGTTTCCTCGCCCATCAGCTGCACGAGGGTTAACGGGGCAGGGGAGCAACGGCGACCCCGACCGGGACAGCCTCCAGCTGCATCTGGGCAGAGGGCGGGGGGCGGAGGATGGCAGGAGCCCACGGCCCTCGCCCGACTCAGGGCTGGGATGGAATCCGGTGCTCTGCCCGTGGCCCCGGGCCCGGATCCCGGGGACTCGGAGGGGGCCACTGCTGGGGACTCGCAACCCGCCACGCAAGGACCTGTGCGGGTCCTCCTCACTCTGCGAGCCAGCGTGGTGTGGGGCTGGGGCTCGGGGACTGGGGCTCTCGTCCCCACTCAGCTATGGCGCTCAGGGGGACTTCGGGCAGTCGGGCTCCCAGCCAGCCCAGAGGAAGCTGTTGTAAGGATAAGACTGACATGAGGGAGAGAAGTTTGTTTGCTGCCTTAGGGTCCTAGAATAACGGAGCTGGAAGGGGCCAAGCCTCTGCTGGTGCAGGACACCAAGTCACACCACCCCACTCAGAGGGCTGCCCAGTTTCGCCTTGAATGCCTCCAGTGTGGGGGAGCCCCCCACCCCTCTGGGCAGCTGGTCCCACCGTCAAATTTGTCTGACAGTGAAGAAGCTCTTCCTGATCTCTAGTCTGAATGTGGTTTGTCACAACTTGAACGGATCATGCCATGTCCTGCACTCTTGAATGCCTCCATTGCGGGAGAGCCCACCTCCTCCCTCGGCCACCGGTGCCATTGCTGCCTTGCTCTAATAGTCGGGAAGGTTTTCTTGAGGTCCAAAATCAACGTGCCAAGGAGCTCAGGGGCCGGACAGCCGGGCCTGCCAGCGACCACCCCAGCAAGGGGCAGCGGAGGGCGAGGCTTTTGCCAGGCAAGCCGCCCATGCTTCAAGGACGTGTGGCGTGGGGGGAGCGGGGCTGTCAGTCGCCCCCGGCTCAGTTGGGAGGCAAATTCTGCCAGAAGTGGCCCCTTCCAGGAACTCTTGCCATGTGCGGCGGATAGCTTTCCCCTCCGGAAAGTGGAGAACAGAACTAGAGAGTCAGCCTTCCCCGATTTAATGCTGACTAATAGGGGTGACTAAGCGGATAAAGTGGAAGTTCTGGGAACTTGGGGGAAAGTGAGCACAACATACTTAAGTTCCTGATTTTAAAGGAAGCAAAAATTGAGCATAGCCAGAAACATACTCTGGATTTTGGGAAACATGGGACAATGCTAAGTAAACTCCCATGGCAAGTGACCCTAAGGAAAAGGACTCCTGGATGGGTGGGAGTTTTTTAAAAAGGGAAATGTTAAAGGCATCATAGCAAACAATTCAAAATAAAAGATAGAAGACAGCAGAAGAAACCAATGTGGCTCCACCAAAAAAAAAAAAAAAAATCGAGCTGAGCTGTTTTTTTGAAAGGCCATGAAAAGAAAGTGGAAGGAAGGCCGGCGGCAAAAGCAACGTACAGGCAGGCAGGCAGAGAAGTACAGGAAGAACACCAGGAAGGCTGAAGCCGAGCACAAGCATGAGGCTAGCAAGGGATGCCGGAAAGAACAAAGAAAAGCCTTTTTCAGCTATGTTCACAGTAAAAACAGGAAAAAACAATGGTGGTTTTACTTCTCAGTGAGGAGGAGGGCAAATGGGTAACAGGTGACAAAGAAAAGACCAAGGCATTTCATCAATGCCTACTCTGGTGAATTCTTTTCCAAAAAGCGCGTCTATGAATCCCCCAGCAGAAATGGATTTCAGACTGAGAGGACTGAAGCTGGAGATTCTGCAACACTGACTGGGGGACCTGGGAGATGGAAAGAGCTGAGCGCGTTTGGGCCAGGGAAGGGAAGACCTGAGGGGAGGGATGACCGCGCCCTGCAAGCTCCTAGGGGCTGCCAAGCCCAGGACCTCCTCTGGGTTAACCCGGAGGAGGTTACAGGAAGCCAGATGCTGGCTAGACATCAAGAGCACTCTCCTGGGTGCAGAGGTGCAACGAGGGGACCGGTCACCTGGGAGCACGTGGTGCCCCGCACTGGAGGCATGCGAGAGGCAGCTGGACGGCCACCCGGGAGGGATGGTTTGACTGGGAGAGCGGCACGGAGTGCGGGGGGGACACCCAGTGGCTCTCGGCCTCTCCCAGCTCTGCTGTTCTAGGAGTCTCTGAAATGCCACCCCTGTGGTCTTGAGCTGGTAGACCTGACTTGGCTGCTGCTCACGGTGCCCACCTCACTTCCCAGAATTCCTCAGACACATGCAGATTGCCCCTGGGGCTTCAGGGTGAGTTTGCCTTGAGTTCCTTCGGAGGAAAGAAGGTGGGATATAAATAGGACAAAAGGATAAATAGAATAAAGTCGTCATCTTCCCAGTGTCCATCCCAAGATTTTCAGCCACTCACTCTCTCTCTCTCAAGAGCAAGGAAAGTCTGGTATTTTCCTAGACGATATCATGACTTGCTACAAAAGCCTGGTGTTCTTTTCACAATTTGGCTATATACCATGGCACCATCTCGGGCTGTGAAAAGGAACATACAGGAACACGGAGGAAAAACTGCAGGGAAAAAACCAAACCAAACCAAACCAGAGGGAAAAGCGCTGCTGGGAGACACCCTCCCGGCGAAGGGCGAGGAGCACCGGGCTGCACGCAGGCAGCGGCCACCCAGAACGGTTTCCCCCGGCCGAGCACGAGGCCTCCTGCTGGAACCACCTGCGTTCTGCAGCATTTCCCGCAGCCCCAGCGCCTTCACACTGAATGGCGCTGGTGGAAGCGCACTGTGCTGACCCCTGCAGGGGGCGGCTGGCCTTCGACTGCTGGAGCGCAGCTTGCCGGCGCGGTGTGCAGGCGCGCTGCCAGCTCCCTGTGGCACCCTGTCTTTGCCGCTGCCGCATCCCAGATGGCAAAACAAAGCTTGCCAGTTCACCGACTGGCTGCCCGGTTGGCCAACCAGCTTGCCGCCAGACACGCAGCCTTCGGATTGCGCCACTTCCTTTGCCTGAAGAGGGAAATGCAGCATGGATGGCCACGGTGCGCCTTTGTGGGGTCCTTGCCACCATTCGTGGCAGTATCACTGATGCCCCCCACAAAAACAAAATTGGGGGCTTCCCAACAAATACCAGTAGCTGCTAGGAGGCCTTCGAAAGGGCAGGCTTAGCGTTTCCAGCTCCTTTTCTGCTGGTCCCACACCCCCATGTTCAGCGGGTCGGCAGCCGTGGGGCTGCTGGAGTTGCCTGAAGAGGTAAAGCTCCGCGGAAGCAAAGGCAGCCGCTGCCGCTGCCCCGTCAGGGGCAAACGGAGCACGTGGCCACCAAGCAGAGTGGCTGGGAGCACCGGTTGAGGCCGACACTGCCCCTCCCCGTGAAGCAGATGGAGTCCAGAATCATTTGGGGAAATCAGAACGCACAACACATTTTAAAGACAAGGGCTGAGTTTTATTTGGAAATTCACAGTTTCTACTGGCACTATAAATCTGTAGTTTATTACAGGTCCCAGTGCCACAATTTATTAGTTCACGCAAACAGTACAGCCTTCTCCATTTCCATCCTGGCTTGGGCCCCCATTTCTACCCATACTCTTAAAAAAACCAGACGCGTGGCTTCGACTGGCGAGCTGGGCAGACCAAGTACATCACTGGTGATTAAAAAAAACCAAACACTTCTAACATGGAAGGTGAAGAACAAAGACTTTAAATAAGTCACATTATAAATGAAATTCAGGAAAGGCATTAACTCTTATGACAAGGTAACAAGAAGATGCTACTGAAAGTGCTCAATAACTTAACTTATGGGGACAGCCTTGAAACGTGCAAAAAGACCTTCCGTCACATTCACGCACATTCCAGTAATGCAATAAAAATTAACTCATGCCAGAGAGCACACGCACACACACTCGCACACGGCACACGTGTTACCCAGACAAAAGCCGACATCATGGACATCCCTTCTGGAACAAGCTGTAGACGGTGCGTGGCTGAATTTCGGTCGAAGGCAAAGTTCATCCCGAACTGGGGCAAACGTTACTTCCTCCAGTTTTTTAGTACAGATAGAGAACCAAGGGTCACAATGTTATCGCTGTTAATCAAATCAGTCTCGACAACTAGGCAAGGCTGCTTCTATTGCATCCTGCAGATGTACTGCACCCTCGAACAGGGATATGAATTGTGGCATCGGATGTCTGTGGCAAATGGCGCATACCATTTATGGGTGAACTGCAGAACGAGTATCGGGAGAGCATGCATGCCAAGTGTCCACAGCACCCAAGTCACAAACACTCCGTCCCACAGCAGTTTAGTGTTGTACTTCTAGGAGACTCCAAATACAAAAAAATTCCCCCTCCAGTGGTAGGATAAATAGACAAAAGGCACATAAATATGAGAAGGTGCTAGAAAGAGGACCGTAACAAAAAGGGAAACAGTTAAGCTTTAACTCTGTACCACTGACATCGGGTTTCAAAAGGTTAAATGCTCCGGCAATTGTGAAGAATGCTGCGAACGAGCCCCCGCCGTGCCCCCGCCAGCCGTTCCAAAGTTGCCCATCGACAAAGTCAGCCTGGACAAAGCTGAAGCTTATTCATCGAGGATGGCTGCTAAAACAACCTTATCTAGTTTTAAAGAACCACGTAATGTTTAGATGCTTCCCAATAAACCAATCTTTTCCTCCCCAAATACTACAAGATTTGTCATATAAAAAGTTCCCATTATGAAGAGTTCAATCGATTTTAAAGGTGCCCAGAAACAGCTGTGACACCGAGTGTTCCCACAGTTAAATCCTTGTTTCCTTTGATGATATCGTGCAGGCTGGGCAAGGACCCTGCCTTCGTCTGCATCAAAGTTTTTACGAGCTTCTCCTGCTCTGGGGCTTTTGATCGTCTTCGTTTCAAAGCCCTCTTCTCAGTTTTTGTCTTTTGGACCTGTCCGTTGCACAAACCTGTGCAGGCTGAAATGCCACAGAAGTAAGACTCTTCCGACTGCGACGAGGTTTCTGAGCTTCCTTCCGATGGGGGGCCTTTGTATGAAGAGTGATACACCTCACCAATGTTGGAGAAGTCTCTCTGATTGGTGAATGGCTTCCTGCTTTTTATTTCTCCATTAGCTACTCGATGCACTGGCTCAGCTACTGGCTTGACAGTTTCAATTTTCTCACTTTTGTATTTGCACCGCTTCTTCTAAAAAGGAAAAATGGAACTGTGAGCAACGAGCCCTTCAAGGTGCACAGGCAGGATTCTGCATGCACGCCCTCGTCACTGCCTGCGATTCTCTAATGCAGAGCAGCAGCTGCATCAGTCCAATGCGAGGGGCACGTCTGGAAACATGCATGCACGGAGGGAGGGAGGGAGGGAGGGGGAGAAGCCAGGGCGTGCACACAAGCTTCTTCTGTATAACAAAATACCTTTTTCTCTGGGGAAAACTTCAATGGCTCGACAATGTAGAAGTCATCTGGGTCCACTAAAGGGAAACAATAATTGCTCGGGTTAAGCAAACACATTTCTAGTCTACGCAGCTCTTCTATTCTGTCTTTATTAGCACAAGGTTGTGTTGCAAGCTAGCAGGTCTACAGCTCAGCACTACACACACTCTTAGGTTGGACTGCGCACCCTTCCCAGCATAGCAATTTTGCCTGCGAGTGCTGCAGGCGCGAGGGAGCAGCCGGCAGCCCCTCTCGGGGTGGCTCACTGCAAGCCCCCTGCTGTTGAGACCGGGGGGGGAATCCGATTTACTCAGCCCCAACAGAAGTGCTGATGGTGCCACATTGCGGGGCCGCCCTTGCTCTTCATGTGCATGAGTCCAGTAGATCCATTCAGCCCCAAAGCACATCCTGTTCAGTCTGTACGCAGAACACACAGATTGGGATTGGGAGGAGGGGGAATGAAAATGTGCAGAAGATACATCGCTGATTTAAGATGTGCGGGCGACACTGCACGACTGGCAGAAAGCAGCAGGGAGTGGAAATGACTCCCGATGGACGCGGGGGAGAAAGTGCCAAAGCAGGACCGCAGCTGAGTGAGAAGAAAAGAGGAGTCCTTGACTGCGCCAGAATTACATGCAGGACTGTCAACAATGCAGAAGCTGAAACTGTAAATGGTTTGGCACACCTTGGTAGAACCATAAATTCAACTAGGAACTGCAGCCAAGAAATGAGAAGACTGACACTTAGCGGGGCAGCAATGAAGGACCTTGGAAACATCAGCTGGAGGGATGTTTCACTGATGACTGGGGCCAAGATCATCCGCATGACTGTACTCCCAAACACCTTATATATGTGTGAGAGCTGGACAGTGAAGAAAGTTGAAGGGGGAAATGGATGCATTTGAAATGCAGTGCCGGAGAAGCGCTCTGCGAAACCCCGGGGCTGACAAAAAATGAGCAAACTGAGCCAGAACATTTTCTGGAAGGATCAAACAGGCTGTCAGACTTCAGGCAAATTGTGAGAAGGCAAGACTCATGAGAGAAGACAATCACGCCAGGGGAAGCTGAAGGCAGAAGTTGACGACGACGAATTGGAAGAGAAAGACCAACTACGAGATGGATGGACTGGAAGCCACAGCCCTGAGTTGACAAGAGCTGAGCAGTCTGCCAAGGAGAGGACACTTGGAAAGGCATCCATCCATGGGGCAAGAGAAACTTGATTTTATGTATTTCTGTATAGCTTTTCTATACCGTTCATTCTGCAAAAAAGCTCTTGGAGCAGTGTACAATGATAAAACCTATATGAAAACATGGCATCATAAAAATGGCTTTGAAGTCAATAGGATATCAACAACAACCCTCAAGGTTCAAAATCATAAGCAACAGTTGACAGATATTAATAGAGAAATTCAAAACAACAGCTAATCCACAGAATATCACTGACAATATGAATAAAGACTCGTGTAAAATCTAGTAATCACATTTAAAAGTTAAAATACTAGAAAAACAAAAAGGTCTTGACAAGGCTGGTCAGGAATTGGATGCCCCCAAGCTCCGGAAGGTCGTTTAAACTCTTTCTGGTGACTTGGGGCTGCTCCAGTTTGAGCCCACTGCTCTCATCCTGCTCTCTGGGAAAACTTGGCCATCTTCTTGGAATAGTTCATTGCCTGACCGTTGGCTAAATTTCCTTCTAGTCAAACAGAGCAGCGTAGCCTTCGACTATTGCAAAATGGAGGCTGCATCCGTACAGATTCCCAGAGCAATGCCGGGAAAAGCGAGTGGCAGAGCCAGCGCTGCTCCTACCTTCTTTGCTGTTCAGCTGAAAAGACTGAGACCTGGTGAGGGGAAAGGAGGTTCTTCTTTTCAAATTCATATCGTCATAGGAAGAAACACATCTGTAGGAAAAACATGCACAGTATTTCAATCTGCACTTGGGGAATAAACCTCTTTTCTCAAATGTAAGAGGCATCTTTTCTCTTCCACATGGGAGGAATGCTTGGAAATCTGTCATTTTCACGTTTTTTCAGGCTACCAGTGCGTGGGCGGGTGGCTGGCAACATTCATATACATCCAGCACCTTAGCAGGGGACATGCTGGCTGGGGTTCCTGGGAGCTGAGAGTATCTGACAGGCAACCTCTGTGCTGGACTCACGGAATGACTGCTGCCAGACGGGCTGGAAGGGGCCCAGAGGGCCGCTGAGGCCGACCCGCTGCTCAGCGCCCTTCTGAGCCACAGCGACTGTGGTGGGGACACGTCTTTGCAGCGCCCTCTGACGCAGCTACACACTATTAGCTTTGGGTTGTGCTCTGACATTATTCATGGAGCCGAGAGCTAGTTTTAGCAGCTAGTGTCTTCCAAAGAGCATCGCCATCAAGCTCTTGCCGTGGGATCTGCCACGGCGAATGCCACTGCTCTGGGGTGTCCTGTGCCAGGAAGCTGGAGCGTGTGCCTGCGGGGTTGGGCCATGACACAAACACGGAAAACTTAAGAAAAACTGCCGCAGATCCCTCCGGAAAATTCTAGAAAACAACATAATTAGAAGCAAAAGTAGCTGTGAATGAGTTACCTTTTGGGACTGGCATAGTGATTACTTTTGGGAACTTTTGAGAAGAAATCATCATTCAGCTCTGACTTGTTTTTGCACCACTGCACAAAAACCATCAAGCCCAGGATGGCACAGAGCAGCAGGGTCACCACCAGGTAGGTTTGGCGATAGGAAACCTGCAAGAACCAGGCACACTTCTGGTTAAACATGCGGCTGCACCAGCCGAGGCAGCGCATACACCCTCCACGCAGAATAACAATGGGGACCACTGTTCTGTTGATCACAGAGACGCCTGTCCTGCCTGCAGACATATGGTCGGGACAGCTTACAATAACATGCTGAGCATGCAACGAGTACAGACGTTAGGTGCTCCTGGCGGTCACCGGCGGCTGTGGGACTCCCTCGTGGCTCGATGAGGCAGGATGCCTGCCGCAGAGGGGGGCCCGGCACCCCCAGTCCCTGTTTTGCTGCGCACGCAGCCTCGTGGGGCAATGCCTGGGGCCACCTTTCATCAGCAGAGCATTAAAATAATTTAAGAATAGCAGTTCTGCAGAGGCAGCATCAAAATACCCCTTCAGTTCTAAATGCTTTAATTGCTTAGCATGGAAACACTTAGCTCCTCCAAAGTCAAAAACTAGCTAGGCTGCTACATGAGCTGTCTGACTGTTCAGTCGGCTGATACCCAAAGCTGGTCCCTGACAGGGTTTGAGCCACTTTGAGCCAAAGGAAGCACAAGTGTGTATAAACAAAACAAAACAGAACAGAACCTATAAAAAACAGTCACACAGAGGTGGAGAGAGGCCTGTTCCCCCCTGCAGAGGAAGGCAGGACGTGCTCCAACAGAGCCAAGCTCAGGGAACCAGGGTTCCAGTTGGATGCCAGGAAGCACTTCCTGACAGTCGGGACCCTGAGGGTGTGGAATGGGCTTCCCCGGGAGGTGGCTGAGGCCCCATTGGTGCGGGTGTTCAAGGACAGGCTGGATGTGCACATGGTGGGCGTGTTGTGAGTGGAGCTGGCAGGAGCCGGGGGTCAGACTAGATGGCCCAGCCGGCCCCTTCTGACCCGCTCTATTTCTATGTTTCTATAAAAAACATGAAGTCCCCCAAGCCAGGTGACTGCCAGAGCCATCACAGGGAGGCAGGGTGCCAGGCAGTGGCCCTGCCAGCAGCCCCACTCGGGTCTATTCCTCAGAGCACCCACTTCTCTCGCCACACATGCCCTGGGAGGCATTTAAGCCATGCCTCCTGCTCCAGCAGGCAAGCAGAGCAGCTCAGGGTGCAATCCTGAAAGGTTTAAACAGGAAAAAGTCCGACGGCTGACGCCAATCCCCAGCTAGCCTGGCCCTTAGGTAAAGGCTCCAGACAACGGGGCTGGATTTGGAGACGAGGGGAATGCAGGCAGTGCCCAGGTACCAAACGAGTCCCCGCTTCCGAGAATGCCTCCAGGTCAAATTTGGATGTAAGTCAGGGCACATATGTACAGGTCAAATTTAGCACAAGCAAGTCAAATGTTTTAGTATAGGCATATGGTTTACCTTTCTGTGCATATAAAATACTTAGGAAGCGCTCTCCACATCTGCAGGGCTTTGGGCAGAGGATGCCCACGAAAGGGGAAAAACGGCAAGTTTCTCTAGCCTTCCCCGCAAGCCTCGACTGCCGACCACACGTGCCCCAGGCTGCTTCTCCCCGCACCCCGCAGGCCTTGGTCTGACCCCCTTCCCTCTCTCACGCACCAGCACCTCCTCTTTGCGCCAGCAAGGACATGGCTGAGCCTTCCCTCTCTGAATGGGTGGGGGCAAGAAAGCAACTTTGGAGGGCCCCTCCCTTTCGCTTCCCCTCTCTCTATGGAGATGGCAATTTTCTGCAGGAGGCCACAAAACTCCAAGCATCCCGTGCTCTTTACAACAAGCCGTTCAGGTCTTTAGCTCAAACGTTTCAATTAGAAGCCTTTGTGGCAGTTCATTCGTAAACACGGATGTCTGCAGTCCAGGGCCTGCACGTAATGCTTTTCGAACATTAAAATATTCTGATCCTGCTATTCTCAAGCACACAAGCACCTGCACGGCAGGCGTGTCCGTTCAGAACCCTCTTTGCACGACCCTTTACCTCTCTTTTAAGTTCGGTCACAGCTGAGGACAGGTTGGAGACGAGCTGTGTCACGTTGGCCAGCTGGGCCTGCAGAAGCTGGATGGCCTCCGTCTGCTTCAGGTCCTAAGTGGAGAGAAGGGGCTGAAGCAGCCTGCCTGCACGGCAGAACCGGCACTCCCGGTTCCGTGCACCGGGCGAATGGCGACGCAGCCCCCCAGGCTCAAGGTGAGGGCCGAGGGACCCAAGCAGGGGGCAGCGAGCGGCACGCACAGGCTCCGTGGGGGGCCTGGACCTGCCCAAGGCGCCATGCTCAGCCCAGCAGCGCTCCGGAGGCGGCCGTGCAAGCGGGAGGCAGCACCCAGACGGTGGGCAGGCAGGCACAAGCAGGCCGGGGCGGCAGGGAGGGGGCAGGCGGCAGGGAGGGTGCGGCGGGGCGACGGGGCTCTTCTCGGAGCGGGCAGGGGGTGCGGCAGCGGCGTGAGGAAGGCAACCCACGGGGCAGGAAAGACGGGGACTACACGGGGGCTGGGGGCCGAAAATCCTGAAAAATGGGCAAAAATGATCTGTGTGCCCTTAGACCTGGAAAGACGCTCCGACCGTGCTCACAAAGGCTGCCTCTCCCTGGAGCGAAGCAGGCCGCGAAGAGTGCGGGTGGACGGCCTCGGGCCCCTTCCGGGGTGGCTTCTACGAGCCTGTGCACGGGCTTTGCTTGGCAGAGCACATGCTTGGGGTGCACTTCCAACTAGTGCAGAATTAAGGACCTCGGCACTGCCCCCTCCCGGAAAAAGCAGGCTCCCGCACCTCCCAGAAGCCCAGCTTCGCGGGAGGGCTGCTGATCCTTTCTGGAGCCGCGGGGAGCCAAGGAGCGCAGCCTCGCAGCTCAACCGCCATAAAGAGGAAGCCACGGCCGAGGACCTTATTCGGTGTGAAGAAAAGCTCTCCCACCTAACCTGGAAATGGTGAGACGCTTTTTCTAAGCTAAAAGGAGAGGACCAAGGGTGACTTAGAATGCCCACCACATTCTGCAGTTTAAAATAAATGTTTATGACTCCATGTCCCGCTTGTGTTCGGTCTGCCTTCCGGGGCTGGGCGGCACCAACACACGGGGAGGGAGCGGCCTGGGAGGCGAGGTCGGTGGGCACGGAGGGGGAGCTCATCTCAAGGCTGCCGTCTCCGGGTGTTCGGACAGACCCCGGGACCCAGCCGGGCCTGGAAGTGGTGGGAGAAGAGACAGACCAGGCCGGCCCATTCCTCGCCCCCGTGAGATGGGCTCCGGGGCGACGGGCCGGCCAGCTCAGCTCTGCAGAGGAGCACACCCAGAGGGGTGGGGGCCGGGGCTGCTGAAAAAGCGAGCTCCCCAAAGAGTCTCTCGTTTGGGTTCAACAACCCACTCTCGGCATGCTCAAAGACTCCTCCTCGGTTGGATATTAGCTTGCTGGCTGTATGCTGGAAATAAAGTGCTTTTGCCAAAGAACTGACTGTTGTCAACAAGAAAAGGAAGAACTCGGCTCCTGACAGCTTCTGGTCAGGTTAATAGGTCGAACAAGCTACAATGCATTTAACTACATCAACCAGATCAGTGAGAAGAGGAAAGCAGCTGCTACAGAGAGCAGAAGTGCAGCAGGAACTGCCTTGGTGGCAAACTTAAACGCTGACAGTCACGATGCACTTCAGGCCACGGGAAAATGGCAATGGAAAGCACGGCAGCACAGAGTGAACATACCTGTTGCTCAGCTAGGCGTGAAGTATTCTGCAGTTTTACTATGGTTTTATTAAAAGCCTTCTGCATTTCCTCCATTTGTTTACGGTATCTATAAAGTGAATTTAAAAGTATCTTAAGAAAGGGCCCACTCTATGTCTCGTACCAATTTAATTTCTCCCTCATCAACTGGGTGGGCAAGAAAGAAGACTCTGTCCATGCAAGGCAGATTTCCTGTGTTGTTGGTACTCCCTGCACAAAAACTGATGTGGGAGGAGAGTCGTCTTCTTTCCCCCCACCTCAAAGGAAAGTCATTTTTCAAACAATTACCTAGTTTAAAATACTGTTCTGAACATGCCACAAAGGAACATTCACCAGCAGAAGAAATCTTGCCCCCATAACAAAGTGGCACTTTGCAGCCTTCCAGGACATATGGCAGGCGTTACCCCGAAACCCAGGTACGCGAGTTTCTGGAACATGGAGCAAGTTTGGCTGATGCAACGTTCACGGCATGGATGCTCCCCTTCCCTACTCAGAGATCTGTTCCTTCCTCCCTTCCAGAACTGAGCTGCTTACACTCGTACTGAAGAGGCTGTTCAGCTTAGTTTTAGGATCTTCCTCACCCACCTTTTAAGCAAGGAAAAATATAAGGCATCCATACCTTTGACTAAGTTCTTCCAAATAGCGGCTGCTGAGAGACATGTTTACTTCGAGGGCTTTAATTCGATTGTTGAGCCTCATGAACACAGACTCCTTTTGGTTTGATCCATGAACCAGATTCCCATTTGCATAACCCAAGTCTGTAGAGTTTTGTAATTCAGCATAAAAGTCTGTAGCAGTCCGTGGCAATCCACCAGAAACAGGAATAGCAAGAAATGTTTCCTCAACCGTCTGCTCATCATCTTTTATTTCCGGAGACGGTGACTCTGCAAGGACAGGCTCCACCTGCCTCTCCATTTCCGAAGGACTAACTTTTGCTTCCCCACTGTAGTTTTCTACAGCTACTGTGCATTCGGACTGTGGGACCGTCTCTGTTGGTTCTGAAATAATTTCAGTGGAGACTTTTTCTTCTGTGCTTGTCTCCTCGAGCTTGGTTGTGACGCTGGCTGCAGAAGTCTTCTCCGTAACAGACCCAGTAATACCCTCCTCGTCCACAGGGATCTCCTCCTGGGAAGGAATCTCCGGGCTCTCGGACACGGTTTCGTGCTTTGCGGGCTCCGAGGACACCTCTGTCGCAGGCAGCGGCTTGGCTCCTGCTGTGACATCCAAGAGAAGGGACTGAGACACGGCCTGCGGGTGGCTGGGCTCCAAGTCAAAGGCGCCCTCCGTCTGGTTACTCAGAGCCTCGTTCAGCATGCTGCTCAAGACACCTGCAGCCATTCCAGGTGGCTCTGCAAGCAGGGACTCCAGTTTCTGCGGAAGAGGCTCTTGCATCGAAAGAGGCAGTGTTTCGGTCGGAACCACCTGGGCCTGCCAAGCAGCAGCAGAGTAGAATTTTTCCCAGTCGGTGTCGGCCTTGCCCTGGTGGCGACGAACAGCCGCTGCCGCTGAGCACCGCTTGAACACATGCTCGGGAAAAGTGGAAACGCAGCACGCGGTCAGCAGCTCACAGCAGTGGGTCTGCGTTTCGGACTCGAACCAGGGCATTTCCTCTTCCTGCTCGTCACTGGGCAAGAGAGTCACCGTCGACGGACTTGCTTCTTCTTCATACTCATGGACAAGCTGGACGATTGGGTTCTCTCTTGTTATATCTAAGACTAACAGCTCCTTTTCAGTTTGTGGGATCTCGGCAGTGACAAGCCTATAAACAGAAGTAGAAGGTCAGTGACCAAATGGTAGTTCAGGGTACCTTAATGGAAAAAGGAATGGTGGTGACGCGTCCACATCCTGGACGACACATACCAACTTGGAAATTAGTTTCCCCCTTAAGCACATTTCTTGGCTTAGAGGCCTGTCCTGCAAATTCACAGGTGACCTCAGGTTTCTATCAAGGTCATTTATGCTAAGAAATCACAGAAGGGTTTGTTATTCAACACCATAAAGAATTAGCAACTTTGGGCACTGCGAGGACTTTTAAACGCAAGAACATGTAGCGGGCAAATAACACCTTTTGGAATGAGAGGCTGGTGGACACGCTGGACCTGGCTGCATCAGAAAAGTTAGGATTTTACATTAGAAGTCCATAAAAGTTGCAGGGAGAGGTGTGATACCTTGTTTAAAAAGGGGGCAGGCTTTATTAATTTCTGCAGACATAAAGTGATATACTCAAATATTTAATTCTGTTTTTCAACAGCACAGGGAAGGGTGCAGTCCAATGGAGAGGTCTGTGCTCCTTCAGTCCTGGAGAGTTTCAGGCATTCTACGGAGGGCTAGAGGAGTGTGGAGGCAAAGATCCCCGCCACACTTCTCACTCTGCAAAAGACTCGGTTCATTCTGAGGGCTCAGAGAAGGACCAGCTGAGATGCTGACAGAGCCTCTGCCCTTCCACCCCCAGGCTGTAAACTGGACTGTCAGGATGGGAAAGGCAAGGCGAGCAAGAGGGACCGAGTGCTCCTGTGCAGAGCAACAGCTAGCAAAACGGTTGCGATGCGGATTAAGTTCCTCCAGCACTGGCGCCAAGATCTGGGGGGAGCAGGAAAGGCTGGCCGAGGCGGCAGCTTGCGATGTTCGGGGTGGAGCCAGACGAGGGCAATCACACCAAGACTCGCAGGTTCAAGCACAAACATGCCAGAAGGGGATTCACAATGAGGAACCCGCACTCTCTGTCTAACCTCGGTGTTCCCAGTGTGGCTGCATTCATGGTAAGCCACGACTGGGCAAGGTTACCCCCCTCCACGCAGTCACTTACTCTAAAGAAGGAATGGTGGTTGGCTCTGGCAGCTTGGGGGCTGCCCTGGAAGAGGCAGTCACATTTTCAGGCACACTCTGATTTCCTGTCAAAGAGACACACAGATTTAAGGATACCCCATGAACCGTCACTGACAGCTGCAGAACAGAATAGCCTGCAAAATCAGCCAGGAACAATGTTTAAAGAGAAGAGCTGAGTTTTCTTTACATTCCCATTCCTAGAAGTTCCAGGGTGTTGGTTGGCAGAATATAACATCAAATGGAGGAATAAATCCTAAGTTTGAAAGCAAGCCCTTTGTATCCAACCGTCACAAGAACCTACTCTGCAGACAGGCACAAGCGCATGTGCAGGGACTCACAGATCTCACAAACCGCCATGGCTCACTGTCCAGTAAAGAAACCCCCTGAGCAAACCAGGAAAGAATGAGGATGACTCACTGGGCGTGTGATATACTTTGGACTCCGCATGTTTGTGCCATCCCAACCCAGAACTCGGGCTCCATGTTCCCATACATTGTTATTTGTTGCTGTTGTCATGGCTAGTCGCCAAGTTGCGTCTGAGCAATCGCGACCCTGTGGACAACTCTCCTGCAGGCCCTCCTGTCCTCCACCATCCCCGGAGTCCACCCAAGCTCCCACCGACCGCCCCAGTGACCCCATCCAGCCACCTCGCCCTCTGCCGGCCCCTCCTTCTTTTGCCGTCTATTGTTCCCAGTATGAAGCCAGCTGGGAAGAATGCCCCAGCACAGGACCTCCACAAATGGAATTTCCCAGAAATTCAAACATTACATTCCCCTGAAGTTCTGGGGAAGGACAGCTTTCTATTTTGGGAAGACAGAAGGACAGCCAACTAACCAGGGCAGGAAAATGAATCGACCAACAGCAAACCCGAAAGCCCGGTCTCCTGTCGCTTAGGCCCATTCGATGCAGTCCTGTGCCCAGCAGAGAACAGATCTTTCCCTGCTCCTGTGCAGGAGCCCTTCGTTATCTGGAGAGCCAAGGCACTGTTCTCCAAGACGGCCCGGCCTGGCACATCAGCTCCTCCTCATGGCTCGTTTCCATACCAAGGAGCGGCTTCTCTGTCCACCTCTGAACCCCAGGATTTCTAGTTTGTTTGTTTGTTTGTTTGTTTAATTTATTTAGTAAACTTCTATGCCGCCCCATTCGCCGAAGCCTTGGGGAGGCTTACAATGGTTCAATTTGTTTATATCCTCCTCTAAAAGTGACCCCCAAACCAGGACTCAGGACTGCAGATGAGACATGCCCAACGCAGGATAAAATGCAGCTGCTCCCTCTTATAGCCGTGCTGGGGGCGGGGGGGGGATGTCCAGATCGCGCCCGTCTTTCCGGCACGAGTGCAACGCGATCTCTGCCATCTCCCCCAAAGCACAGTTGCGCCCGTCTCCCCGCCCCCAGTGTGCCGGGATGACCGGCGTGTGCCAGGATGCTGGGGGGGCAGGGAGGCGGCTGCGGTCTTTGTTGTCCTTTGCCACTTTGCTTCACACTTTTTCTGATTAAAAAAAAATTACAGAACGGATGAACCTTCTTTACATTGACCCTTATGGGGAAATTCAACTTGGCTCAAGACCCATCTGGGTCACGACCAGAGTCCTGGAACGGACTGAGTTCATGAGCCGAGGTGCCATCGCAGCTGCAGCTTTGTTTTCCGTTCCTCAGCCGCCTGCCTCCAAGGCAGCTGCCTCCACCTGGACTTGGGCAGATGAAGGAGGGCTTCTGCACGTCCCCCTGCCGCTCAGGCTGCGCTGCATGCATCCATCAGAGGGGCTGTGGCCCACGAAATGGATGTGGCGAGAATTCTGTTCGCCTTCGAGGTGCCGCACTGCTGTTAACCAGACAGCCTTGGCCTGCTGCAATTCTGATCACTCCTGGCTGACATGCTGTCCACAGGGACTGCTGCGTCTCTGTCCTGGACAGGAGGTCATGCAGCACCTTGGCAGTTACAGCTGGCCTAGACATACATCTGGAATATTAATCACTTCGATTAGGCCAAAGTCAGCTCCCGCTCCTAAATATATATCCAACCTTCAGTAATAATTCTACTGAAATAGCACACAATGAGAAAAGTCTACCTGTCTATTTTTAACGTGTTTGTGGCCAGGAAAGAATAGCCAAAACCCTCTTTTTCTTTTTCTTTTTCTTTTAAGGCTTTTGGGCTACAAATGGTTGCTCCCTTTTTGAAGTGATTTGTTCTGGCTAAATTCTCTGAAACCTCTTTGCATTGCCTTTTCAGTTACTCTTATGTTGTTGTATTTATCGTTGCGTAAAACTGTTTTACGATTGCTCGTGCTGTTCTAACGTATTAGTTGCCTTGGGCGCCTTAAGGAAATGCACGGCATAAATTATTTCAGCTTATGATGCATTTGGAGAGGAGAGCTGTGCTCAGAGCAAACTCACTGAAACAGAGCCTCATTCAAAGCCCGGTGATTTCAGTGGGTTCCTCCTAATCATGACTAAGCCTGGATCCCATGCAACGTTTTTACAGCAGTCATTAGCAAGAACTTCCCACCTGAGCGAAGAAACAACACCCATTTAAAAACGTTATTGCAGAAAATTACCTTGCTCAGCAGAGTCCTCTTCAGTTTTTGCTCCCAGTATATTAGCAGCAATATTCACCATATTTAAAATGGCATCTAAAAGGCACCAAACACGTCCCCACAAAAACAAGCACACACACACGTTGAGATAGCCAGCAGGAAACAGTCCTCCCCAAATTCTACTTCCCAGCACTTTTGGCATGGAGGCCCAGTATTTCCCAACAGTAAATTGGGCACTTACAGCCTCTGCACACACCATGAAAACAGATTTTGCTAACAAGGAGTGAGGCCAGGACGGTCCTACAGGTGAATCACTGACCCCAAGCAATAAAATTGCTCTCTACACAATTTACCATTGTTTCTCAGAAGTGAAAACTTAACTCCCATTCGTTTCAGTGGCTCTTCCCTTAGCTAGCACTAACAATGCACGCTACTCTTGTATGAATTCCAAGGCTCGTGTGTCAAGAGCACTCGGTCTGAAGTTAATTTTTGGCCTCTTTCCTAGATGCGTTGTAAGCTTGCAAGAAGCAGAGCTTAGCCACCCCCCTGCCCCCACAACAAAAAGCCACTCACTTGTGGCAGAACCAAGAAGATTCTTTGAAGATTTTTCTTCTCCTTCATTGTAGTCCAAAGGATAATCTATTTAAAATGGAAGAAAAAACACTTGTAATGGTAAATAATCAGCCTCCTTCTCTCCAGGGAACATCAGAACAGTCTGGCCTGGGTCTACCGGCACAGTAGGCACTGCGTGAAAATCGGAAGCCGCTCTCAGGACACACACATCCCAGGCAGCACAGAGATCCCCAGGGCATCAAAGCACAGAGGTGGAGCAGGTGCCCAGGCCGCTGCCACGCTCTGGTCTGCGGCCCTGCAGGAGGGAAGGCTGGTCAGTGTAACTCTCAGCCTGCTGCCACCCGCAATATGCAGAACAGGCATGCCTTGAGGCTACCGCCACTGCGGAGGGAAAGCAGCTACTGAATGCCTTTGCAGCAACCGACTCCGGCAGGGCTCTTGGCAGTCCTTCTGGAGCTCCCCAGCGCAGAATCTGACTCATTTCCACATTCCTAGAGTTCAGTGCTGTTCATAAAATCAAGTCACTTTCTCCTTCCCCAGTGCAGTTTAGTAGACCTCACCAACCCAACGAGGTTTTCAGCTCCAGATGGAAGAATTTTTACTAACTGTGACTTTTGCAAAAGTATTTCAGTGAAAGAAGACACACCTCTGAGATATGAGTCTTCTAGGCAACCTAAAGACCATAACTTGAAGGGTATCTGGTGTCATCGAAGGTATTTCAGGACCTGGGCCCCTTCCTTTCCATTTTTAGTGATTTAACTTGAAGTAGAAGGGAAAAACCTCCAGACTTGATTCTGCCCAACTTCCCACTAAGGCAAATCTGCTTTGGCCTTCCAGTGGACTGAACAATGAGTGCAGAGGCACCAGGACAGCTGGCAAGTGCCAAGACCTTATTTTTATGCTGGATAAGATGTTAATATTTGCAGAAACAAGCCCTGTGAGGAGAGATGGAAGAACTGGGCATGTTTAATCTGGAGAAGAGAAGACTGTGGGGGGATATGACAACATTCTACAAGTGCAAAATCTCCAGTGTCTCCAGTGCAGAATCTATTCTGCATAATATATTCCTGTTCCTGCCAAGCTTCGAGGATGCTGGGAGCTTTTCAAGGCACTAAAATTGTACCTTGCTACACACTTGATTGCTAGGAGTCTTATTTGGCCTCTGATTGTAATTTCACAGGTTTCAGAAATGTACTTTTAAAGCATCTTCCAAGTGCTAGAAACCTGATTTATTATAGCTGATAAATAAAAATAAACTCTGAGACCCTTACCTACCTTTCAGCACCCGAAGGGCAATGCTCTTAAACAGAACAACAGTACAGAACAAACAGCCTTGCTTTTTCATCCTGGCTCAGAGCCCCCTCACTACCGTCTTCCTCAATTTCCCAATTTTTCTTCCTTTGTGTACTTCCTTTAGGCGCTGGCCAGTAGCCACTGGCCTTGCTCTCTTATTTAGAAATAAATACTCTCATTGAAAGTTAATCAAGATTTAGCAGCAATTCCGCGAGTCGACTTACCATAGTCTTCATCGAAGAGCTCCTGCCTTTCAGAATGGTACTGCGAATCAGCTATTTCCTCATACTCTTCAACCATGCTAGTGCCAAACACCCTGTAAACCATAATAAGCTGAATGAAGGTGGGGCCAATAAAGGCACAGAATGCAAACCAAACTATCGCCCTGCACAAAACTGAGGCACATGGCGTTTCCCCAGCCCTTCGCTATTTCTCCCATGACTCACTTGCAAGCTTCCACATTGCCCCATGTCTAACTAGAATTTCCTCTATGAAGTCACTGAGCTCTCAAGAGAGATGTTAGGACTTGAAAAATCCAGTCGGCTGTATAAACGGGTTTTGCAAACGTCAGTCCATTTCGGGATTCTGGGGAGGGTGCACAACCAACGTCACGTCACCGGGACTAGCAACACTGCTCAGCTGCACTCAGATTACCTTATAAGGCTTAAAGGACAGAAATGTTCCGATCCAAAATGCGATATCAGCTCCACCTGGAAAATACGAAGCATCGCGTAATGAAGGACCAAAGCACATGGGGGTCCAGTTTTTGTTCAAAAGGAAATCGCAATTAATTTTCGTCAAATGGTGACAGAGAGGGTCTTGTCAGGCATTATTTCCGCCATGCAATAAATAGCGCACTGAGCCCGGAAGGTACCCAAGCCCTAAGCATCCCGTATTATGAAGACGTTGCTAACCTTTAAGTATTTGATGAACATCTGAAGCAAGAGAAAGGGGGAGAAAAAAAGAGAGAACTGTCAGTAGGCTGCATGCAGGCCGCAGGCAACACTCGACTACCTACACAACCAGGGGCCACACGCGTCGGTCACTACCCGCCCCCCAAAAACAGAGCCGCAAAGGACAGACTTGCAGGGAAAGAGGAGCGGCGTATTAAGGCACAGGGCATGCGGAGTAAAATTGTGGTGACACGGCCGAGACCATGGGCAGGATTTACAAATTACACGGGGAAAAGGAAAAATGCACACACTCAAAACTTCCATTGATGAGACAGATTCTTTATTGCCTATTTCTTGTCATTCTTCCTTTCATCTAACCACATCCTACTGTACAGAAGAAAATAAGCATCCAGAAAGCTTTTGGTTGGAAGCTGAAGAAAAATGTGTTACTAACAGCTATTGAAAAGGATGGGCTTTGCTTTTCAGAGTCATGATGCAGAGCAAACGTGCACGATTTCCCTCCGAATAACCCTCAGGTCTCACCACCAGGAGGGACTCCTGCCCGTCCCCTGAGACACACACGCGAGGGTCTTCAGAGATGGGGCCGTGGGAAGGCTTCCGAGATGGTGGTGCCAGCACTGCCAAAGTGGACCTCCGCTGGGTGGGGTCTGCACAGAATCACAGGGCTGGATGGGAACCCCGAGTTCGGGAGAGCCACCCCGCTGCCGGTGGACGGGGTTCAGTGCTCCAGCATCTGAGATGGGGCCGTGCAGCAGGTGGGGCTGCCATGGGACACACAGCCGGCCTCCCTCACGAGGCCTGCCCGTCAGCACGGCAAAGCGCCACGGTTCCTGGGCCCGTCGGCATAGTTCCTGCTGGCAGGGAGAACCGCTGCCGTGCCGACCAGGTTTGCGCAGAACCGATTACAAGCACCAGATGAGGAGGATCACTGCTCCGCACGAGGTCCAGCGCAGGGAGAGCAGGAGCCTCCAGCACCTGCTGGGGCTGCCAGTGCCTGTGGCTCTCAGGTATGTGCGTCTTATGCGCTACTGACTCACGCAGCTGCGGTTGCCTTCCCCGAGCCACACCTGCAGTGGGGCAGAGCCCTTGTTCACCCCTTTTCCTTTCTGTGGGGGAAGGACTGATTGAGTGATGCACACACACACACCACGCAACCCACACAGCCCACGCACTGCCTAAGGGAGCCGGGTTGAGTCGGTGCATGAATGGGCCCAAGCACAGTCGGCACGAAACCTCTCTGCCCATCCAGGTGAGAGACGCACAGTCACTCCAAGAAAGTTACCTTTACATATTTGGCATACATCTGTTCATCGAGTGGAAAACTCTGGACATTTCTCTCATCTCTAGCATGAAAAGTCCCTAGTTTGACCCACTTATTTGTTGGATACCTGGAATGTCACACAAAGGAGAATGAGCACACACACCGTGATTTCTCACAATTCAGCTAGTCCATCATGTTCTTCATCAAAATGGTCATGCAGCGCATTTCACAGAGGAACCCTCGGGCCCGGGGGTGCCTCCCCCCTCCAAAACTGAATCCAGCCCTTGGGCTGTAGGACATTCCCCATCCCATACCGTGCATTACTAAAGTGGGCCGTGCTTAAGCTGGCTAAAGCCCCATCACCTGAACCAATTATGAAAAAGGTGACTGGTGGCAACTCTTAAAGCCAGTAGTACGAAAGCACTTAATTCCCCAGGCCATGCTCCGTTTTCCTCCAAACAAGAAATTTCCTGACCATGTGCATCCTATCATAACCCTCTAAACGAGGATGCGGGGCAGCCACGCCATACCGTCACTGCAGTGAGGGGGACTCGGCTTCCCTTGCCTCTGCCACGGCCAAGTATCACGACACGAACCTGTCACTGATGGACACCAGGAAGTCCTTGGGGGTGGAGGAGAACAGCTCGTGATTGGCGATGTCCAGCTGCTTCACCTGGATGGGTTCACACAGCTCGACCACGAACCTTGATGAGAGAGAGCAGCGTGAGAGCGAGCGAGCGAGCGAGGCCTTCCGCAAGGAACAACGAAAAGCGCAGGCCGGTCCCACACACACTGCACTGCAGGATGCACTGCACAGATATACTCTGCATGTACATTCTTCCTGTGCTTTTCACATACAGAAGGTAGGAGAGATCTAGAGAAGCAAATCCCAAGGGCAGGACTGTGATGCCCCTCTCTCCCTCCCCCAGGGAGCAGCGACGGTGCTGCAGACAAGGAGCTCTGGCAGCTTTTCCGTTATGTGCTGCGAGTCATCCCCATTCAAAGGCGTGGAGGCCCTGGCAACCCTGGGCCAGCTGCATCCAATCCCCCCCCGCCCCCGCCCCTCCATCCCTCCTCACCAGGTCAGGCTGATCACCCACCCCAGCCTGGAGCTGCTCTAGGGACATTATCCCTCAGTAGTTTCAGCAGGAGAGAATTCTTTAAAACACAACTTGCCCGTAGGAAAACCCCCTCCCCTGTCCAGAACAGCAAGGTGGTGCAATTACCTGCCCTGAAATCCACCCCCACCATTGTTCGTTTAAAGTATTTTTAAGTATCTCAATGAAATTATATACATCTTGAGTTAATGTATGACTTCATTCCATCTTATGAAGCCAACTTCTACTGCGGAAATACTTTCTATACTGTTGAGACAGGATGGCAAAAGTAGATTTCACAGAGAGTTGCGGAAACACAACCCTGGGCCACCAAAGCCTGCCAGAGTTTGTCAATACTAGGCAGCTCGGCCGACACGCCGAGTCCCGGGGACGGAAAGAGCACTCACCAGATCTTGGTGCTGCAGGGGTTCAGCATGTAGAGGTCCATGTTCTCCATCAGTATCGCGGATGTACTCTGAGCAGAATGAGAATGCCACTCATTATCAGGCAGGCCTGAAGCAGCAGCTGCTCTTTTACCACTATTGCTTTCAAAAATCTAATCATAACGCTGCCACATTAAAAGGTCAAACAAGACACAAGGCAAGTCAAGATGCTGCTTCTTCAGAAAGCCAATACTCGTTACTTCATTTGTCCATTCATTTATCCCGTGCCTTTTCAGAGGACAAAGAGGCTCGGGGAATTTTGGAAAAGGTGGAGGGCACGAAGAGCTGTTGTGGCAATACTGACAGAACAAAACCAGGGCACACTGCAGAGGGGAGACCTCCCTGCCACCCGTTTTTGGAAAGAAAGACTCCACGGCAGCCTAGCGTTCCTCTTGGCAAGTCGCCATCTGCAGCCTTGCTTTGCCAGTGCCGACAGATGCTGCCAGCTAGCTGGCCATGCAGAGCTGCGCACCTCCAAAACACCCACCAACCAAGTAAACGTTACAGAAATATTTGCGCATGTTTCTGGAACTTAAAAGTATGATTTTAAACGTGGCGAGCTGGTGACAGCTCCTCGGGCCTGCCACAAAAGCCAAAGCCGACTGAACGGAGTGCGGAGCAGCCAAACGGGGACTGCAGCTGCAGCACGGAGAACGAGCGCGTGATGGCCGCTCCCAGGGCTGCCCGACTCTCACTGGAGGGGGCACGGCTGGGCTGGCCAGAGGGACGAGGGGCAGGGGGTGCCGCTCCGGCGGGCTGCTCACGCGCCACTCTGCTTGAACCCACAGCGGGATCGGTCTTCCCCGGCTGGGTGACACATCAACCCACAGCAGACCCTACAACAAGCCACAAGTTGTCAGGGTGGCCTGGTGCCCAAAACTGCGCCACGGGGGAAGCAGTCTGGACCCACAGAATGTACGAAACCACCTCAGCTGGCTGCCACTGAGAGACTGCCCTACCACGAGAACGTGGTGCAGGTTCAGAATAGGATACGTTACTGTTTTGAACGTGGCATCATTACCTTTGCTTCCGGGTTGGCTGCCAATATTTTGGCACCACACTCTACCGAAGCATAATTATTTCTATTTTTCTGAACTTTTTTTGTGAGATGTGGAACTCCATTGGAAGATGGATGCATTGACTGACCTGCATTCAAGAGAAGGTATTTGGAAACTATTAGTGCAATAATATTAGTATAAATCAGTAAAGAAAGGATTACCGCGCTGGATCAGACCAGAGGTCCATCTAGTCCAGCACGCCACACACATGGTGCAAACCAGCTGCTCACAGGATCCCTCCAGCGGGAAGGGTGCAGGACCTCCTCCTGCCCAAGCTCCTCAGCGACCGGCGCATGCAGGCACGCCGCCTCTGGGTGAGGAGGGAGCAAGTGGCCAGCGAGACTAGCAGCCTTCTCCCCGTGGCTCTGTCCAGTCCCCCTGCAGAGGCACTCAGATCGATGGCCATCACCACTTCCTGAGGCAGCAGAGTTGAGCCATACACTGTGTGGAGGAGCCCTTCCCTTTCTCTGTCCTAAGCCTCCGCTTCAGGGGACGAGCCCGGGTTTGAATGTCACGGGAGAGGGAGGAAAATGCCTCCCGCTCCACTTTCTCCACCCCACGCAAGGGAAGAGCAGAGTCAACAGGACACCAAGGCTGGGCTCTGTCAGCAGGTGGGGAAGCCCCACCTGAGGACAGCATTGCAGGCATCGAGGACATGACGGGAATCCAGCAGGAGAAAAGGACCTTAGGGATCACATACAGCAGAGCCAGTGAGAAGAAGGATAACCTTTAGAGCTGGCAGCAAGGAAGTCGCCCAATTTTGGTAAGGGCAACAAAGAACCGAGCTGGAGGAAAAAAGTGAAGACTGCAGGCGTGAACAGCGCGTGCCAGAGATCAGAGAAGAAAAGGGGACACACATGGGGGAAGGATGGTTTCCTCTGTGGGCATGCAGACAACTGGACAAGCACGCCGGAGAGCAACTCGCCCTAGCAAGAAAGAGCTCTTCATTCAGGATACTTGCCAGTGTCTCAGGTGCCAGAATTAAGAGGTCAGAAGCCCACTTTGCTACGTGGCTGCTTAGGGATGGACTGCCTAACTGATACACACATGCACACACGGGAAGGACAGCATTTACCTTGATGGTTCATGCAGGAGTGCCACAGACAAGTAATTCCTCTTGGCATGTATCTTCCTGCCCACCAAGCGAACCCTAACAAGGACAGCGAGCACAACCCCTGCTCGATGCAGGACCGCCAGGTAAGCATCCCTGACCGGTGGCTGCCCAGCTGCCTCTTGCTTTCTTCTTGAAGGCCTCCAGCCTGGGAGGCCACCACTCTTTGCTCACTGGCACTGTGGCCGCACTGCTCTAACGGTCAGCAAGGTCTTCCTGATGTCACGGGGTATCTGGCTTCCTGCCACTTGAGCCCGTCACTCTGCGTCCTGCCCTCTGGGATGATCGAGAAGAAGAGGCCTTGGCCTTCCTCTCTGTGACAGCCTTTCAAAGCTTGAAGACTGCTAACATATGCGTCCTCAGTCTTCCCTTTTCAAGGCTAAACATGCCCAGTTCTTCCAATCATTCTCCAAGGAAAGTAGGGAATTCCACAGAGTTGGAATACTTGGCTCTGAATGAGCAGGTATGATGTAAGCAGAATCTTGACTTTGAAGGTAAGGCCACCCTTCTATGAGCAACTCTGGTCACTGGGACTTTAAAGCAACTGTTGCTACTTCAGTGTGTTCGCCAAGAGAAATCTGGGTGTGGACAAGGGAGGACTGAACTCTCGCTTAACTGAATTAGCATCAAATTACTGCTGTAAACAAAATGAAAGCAAAATCTCCTTCAAAAAGAAACTACAAATACCCTTTCTAAAGCCAGAAAACACAGCAAATTAATATTGGATTTTTAAGAACAACTGTTCAAAGTGACAGAAAACAATGGAACTCACTCTTCTCTTTTTCCACTTCCATAACCTGCTTTTTCCACTCGTCAAATGTGGGAATATCTCCTGGGTCCTTTGGGGTTATTACAGAAGTTGGGTCAATATCGCCTGTTTTTCTCTGCACAAGGTGACAAAAGGGTGTCAACAAAAATTAACATGAGATGTAAGCAATGCAGTCCGCATCAACATAATGTAAGGCTTATAAAGAGCATTTGCTTTCTCAGGGCTTCCTTGCTATCCCATCACCAGATGAAAAATGGCTGGTGGAGATGAAAGAGGGAGGCCTTTTCAACAGGCTGTACCCCTCTTACATCCGGTCCTCTCTGCCAACTTTTACCGCTTTATTTCAGCAAGCGATTTCTACTCACCTGGTGAACTTTATATTCTAGTTACTGGGATATTTTTAAAGTGCTTCACTGCTATATAGTTACTGTATTATGACTGTTCTAAAGCTATTTCGTTACTTGCATCTTTATGCTGGAAGCCGCCTTGCCCGTGCTTGCCAGAGTCGCGATATAAATGTTAGAACAAAACACCGCCTTTGGTGCTTTCTGATCTGCAGTATGAACATCTTCTGCTAGCAGCTAGAACAGCCCTATCACAGAAGGGACAAGGTTAAGTGCCTAATGTGAACAGTAACAACTTATGTTACTGTAACAAATAAGCTGCAGCTCCATTTTCAGTTATTTTTAAATTCCTGCAAGGAACAGAAGTTTGTTGCTGACTGTGCTGTTTGTTTATTTACGCAATGTACACACCACGTTTTGGCTTAAAACACCTACCTCCCCTCTTACGTTGCCAGAGGCATTCAATGCAGATTTGGGATCTGCCTTCTGCTCAGCTGCAGCAACTTTGGGGTCAAATTCTGATTTAGTCATCTTTCCCTTTCCATGTGAAGAGATATTTTCGATGTGTTGACCTACAAGGCTGAAAACACGCCAACATTAGGAACTCCTCAAGATGCAGCCTGAAATATTCTTAAATGTTAAGTGAGCACATGAGCAACTAAAGCCAGGAGCACAGCAGGACTGCCTGGACAGCAAACAAACAGCGAGACTCGGCTGCTGCCGCGCCCACCTTTCGGGTGACGTATCGCGAGAGGATGGCCCACTCGGAGGGAGGGCCTCAAGGACCCCTCCAACGTCACAGTCGGGCTCTGGTGGTCCACTTTCAGCAGCGGCAGCTTCAGGGACGTCAGCGCTGGAATTCTCTGTCGCACTGGGGAGAAACACATGAGCGTGACGCTCCCTCTCTGAGATGGCGAATCCCTTACTGGTCCCACAAAGGCCAACAAGGCGCCCCCTGGCACTGCTAGGGAGACTGCAGGAAGCACCGCAAGGCTTGCATGCCACTGCTGCTTTCAGATGCACATTCCACCCCAAACGGAGGCTCTGAATGATGCAAACAGAAATGTGCCCAAGTCACATGCTTCCCAGAGTCAGATTTTTTGAATAGGCCGCTGGGAAAGCGGAATGGGTTGGTGGAAGGGCACGCCAGCCCTCTCTGTTCCCCTGGTTGATGGTCTCCCTCATGCAAACATCTTTCAAAGTTCGGCATCTAAGAGGACCCAGTGCGTGATAATCGAGCTGGCTCCTGCTCCCCCTGCCTGCCCTGATCCTTCTTTGGCATTTGGCCAAGAGGCTGTGGCAAACATGCTCTAGCTGCGCATGGCTCTGGGGACACACGGCTGAACCCCAGTCCCCTGAGCACCGGGGCAATATGCTCATTCCACAGTGGGCTGGCTGGAGCTGGGCTGGCAAGCGCGTCCTCCCTTGGCCTTGCCCCACACGACTGACCCTTCTCTTGAACGAGCTTGTCCAGGGCAAGGCAATTCCACAGGCATGATTCGTTCAGAAATATGTTACTGTCCCTGAAGTTTCCCTCAACATGCAGAGTGAACATAAGGAAACTTCGGCCCTCTAGATGTTACTGGACTAGAACTTCCAGCAGTCTGGACTAATGGCCACGCTAGCCAGAGCTGATGGAAGGCAGAATTCACTAACATTTGGAGGACCAGAGGTTCTACACCCCTGTTGTGAAGGAGATTGTATAAAGAGAGTAGTGAATACCGCCATTTCAACAAGGAGATGAAAAGACTGCAAGGCCAAACTGAACTTAGGAAATAAATCAGTGCTGCTGGTGCAGCTTAGGTTTATGTCAAGAAATCAAGGAATAGTAGAGTTGGAAGGGCCTAAGGAGACCTCTGGGCCCAACCCCCTGCTCTTGCAGGACACCAAGTCACACCATCCCACTCAGATGACTGCCCAGTTTCCCCTTGAGTGTCTCCAGTGTGGGAGAGCCCATGACCTCTCCAGGCAGCTGGTCCCACTGTCATATGTCATTGTCATACGTCACTGACAGTGAGGAATCTTTTCTTGATATCTAGCCTGAACCTGGGATGTCACAACTTGAGCTAATTATTTCGTGTCCTGCACTCTGGGGGCAGCAAGAAGAGATCTTGACTTTCCTCTTTGTGACAGCCTTTCAGGCACTTACAGGGGGATCTCATGTCCCCCCTCAGCCTCCTCAAGGATGAACAAGCGCAGTTCTCCCCGTCTCTCCTCACAGGGCAGGGCTTCCAAACCCTGGTGTACCTCTTTGGCAGAAGGGGGGAAGAGATGGCAAAAATGTTTTTGGTGTCTTTCTTAGCTCCCTGCTGATTTGATCATTTGTCTGTTGCAACTCGGGGAGTATCCCAATCAACAGGAGGGACAGAAAGAGTTGACTTTAGACCTTTACACCTCTAGCTGCCTCCACCACTGCAGGAAATTGTATCTGATATACTGTGCGTTCTTTTCATCTTTAGAGAATGCAAATTATTTCCTGCGGAAAACTGACCATTCTTATGATACGTAGAACAGACACACTGCCTGCTTCGGAACTCAAACTGCGGGACTGGGGCACCTCTTGCAATTCAGGTAACTTCAAACAAGCTCATCTGACAACTTCAGCTGGGATGACTTGCCGGGAATGAACAAGTCAGGCAGGCGAGTGATCGATGACCCACTACAGGAAAGAGGGCGGAAGGCAAGATGCACAGAGCCTGCGCGTGCTGCAGTCCACAGTTCCACTCCATTTTGAGAATGGTTACAAAATAAACTGTTTTGTGAAAAAATATTTCTACCAATAATATCATAGAAACATGGACAGAACAAGAAGTCTCACCTGGGCTGAGAGACTGGTGAGATCTCTGAGGTAGATGCGCTGAAAGTACTCTCAGGGATACCAGTGGCACCGAGAGAAGCTTCGGCTGGATCACCTGACTGTGGTTCAGCTCCAGGTGTCTTCACTTCCTCCGTTTCCACGCTCTGTCCAAAAAAGTCACCACAGATTTAAGGATCAGTTGAAGTATTTGCAAGTTCTGCAAAGCTTCTTTTGACAACTCACAGCATAGGGCCAACTAAATAAGACTACAAACTGACCGTTTCATATGGTAAGCCAATAGCCCTGAAGGTTTTCAAAAAGAGGGGCAAGCAATAAAAACCAGTCTTCAAATCTTAATAGCTCTTTTCAAGTTGCATGTATGTCATTTCATGTTTTGGGCTTCAGGCTGATTAACTGGACTATTAAATTTGCACAGGGCTTTAATTATACATCAGTGGCATCCCAGAGATCCAGGATGGGTCAGAGGCCTCAGCAGCTCCTGAAGGCAGCAAAATGCTTCAAATGCACTAACACCTCACAGCACTGGCTTTATTGCCCCCTTCATGTTATTTGCATTTAACTTTTATTGTAAACTGTCCAGGGAACACTTATTGCTGGGTAGCATTTTTTCTTTAAACAGAGCAGGCTTTCAACCCCTCCCTCTCAAGGAGGAGATGGAGATGCTGGCATCAGGGTCTGTTTACCAACATCGGCCCGGGGATCGAGACATTGCTGGACGGCCGCCCCGATGTCGATCCGCCCCAGGATGCACCTGGGCTAGGATGCTGTGACCGTCGCTCTCCCCAACACCGGCAAGGCCTCCGTGGTCCCGCACACACTCCCCCCACCCCGCCTCTCCACACAGGTGGCGGCTGTGCCGGGCGGCGCGAGTGGAGTGTGTGGGCAGGGCAGGCGGAGCCCTTTCCTTGCTGGCCATGGCCAGGGGCAGGCCGTTTGGGGCCATGAGGGGCCAGACTGGGCCGGGGTTTTGGTCCTCTTCTTTTCTTTTTCTTCTTTTTTGTCTGATTGTTACTGTTATTTGTTTGTGGCAACTGTGTTATTTGCTTTTAATTTGGGATGATTTTACCTGGGGAGCAGGTGGGCGCCACCATTGGGGTGGTGATAGGCAGGGGAAGATATAACACTGGGGGTCTAACAGGCCTGAATAGGAGAAGGAGGAACCGATGTTTGATACCGGTCCCTTCTTCTGGTTATTCCCCCAGCCAGATGGTTCCTGGCAGCAATATCAGCCGGTCCCAGGCCCGGCGGTATTGCTGATAAACGCCAGGTTGGTCCATAATAAGGCATCTGCCAGACATATTTGATCAAGGATGAGGGGGCCGACCTGGCATGTCATTACCGAGACCTGGGTGGGAGAAGGGGGAGATGTCTCCCTCACGCAATTGTGCCCACCTGTATATCTCGTGCAACATTGGTCACACCCAGAGGAAGGGACGGGGGACCAGTCTGGTTCACCGAGCTAGTATTTCCCTTGCGGGGCTTCCTGTCCCTTTGAGACTGGGTCTTGAGTGTTTGCACCTGGTGTTGGGCAATCGAGACAGATTAGGGACTCTGCTGGTGTACCGTGCACCCTCCTGCCCAGCAGACTCCCTGCCTGAGCTGACAGAGATTGTCTCGGACCTGGTGTTGAAGACTCCCAGGATGCTGGTCCTGGGGGACTTCAATATGCATGCCAAGGTGGATCTGTCTGGGGTGGCTCAGGACTTCATGGCTTCCATGACAGACTCTCCAGGAAGACTCTCCCTAGCAGAGGAGATATGGAGGGCTGGTGTGTAAAAATGAGCAGCAGTTGTGCTGTGTCGAAGGACGGCTGCAGTGAAAGCAACAGAGCCAAATGGGGTAAATTTGAGTAACCAGCATGGCGAGTCACATGCATATGGGAGGAAGGTACACATGGAAAGCTGAAAAGAGTCTGAGTGGCCAAGTTAACAAGGGCCAATTTTGAAGGGCCCAGAACTAATAGATTAATTGAATTCTCCATGGTGAAATTTAAAAAGAGCATGTTTACAACCCATAAAAACGAATACCTCTATTTCAGAAAGCCACGAAAAGACTTGCCTCTTTTTGCTTTGTGCAGTCAACTGAGCATTCTTCATAACCACTTGCACTGGAACCAGCGTGTTCTAAAGACAGGACCCTGACGGAGCCATCAGCCTCCTCCTAGTTGAAAATGCAAACAGACATTTAGAGAGAAAATCCCTCCTTTTTCTTGGAAATGCTATCTTTGAGACAGAATATGTGTAATCCTACTATATATAAGGGTCAATTCTACTTGTATAACCTTTTTGGTTTCCATTATATAAACATTAAAATCATAAAAGGCTTTCTTGAAGAAAACTCAATTTCTGGAGATCAATCGAGATTTTGGGTTTGTAGGACAGGGAACCTGCTGAGCCCCACACCCCAGCTGAGGGGCACATCCCCTTTAAGGGACACCTTTCTTATATGCCACATTTAAAATTCTGTTCTGGTCAAGTGTGTGAATGAGCATACGTGCCTGCCTGTCCTGCCTGCAAGTAGGGGGGGCTAAACAAACTAAAAACTCTCTCCCCTCTGCTCCCCTCCCAGCTTTGTGGGAGACAATCCAGAACTGGAACCCAGGGTTTTCGCTCTCCCACCCCAGAATGCAAAGTTCCTGTTCTGCACCCTGTGCAAAACTTCCAGGGGGCGCAACTGCGCAGTGGGAGCCAGCATGTCCCCCTCCTTTCCTTCGTGCACCTTGGGGGGTTATGATGTGCAACCACTGCTCTTGCCCATGTTAACATTACAAAGGATGCCTAAGGCGATATGGCTCAGGGCAAGCGGGTCCTAAAAAGCCCAGTGAGTTTCTATGCCAACCCCAATTGATATAAACCTGACATAAAGTAACCATCATTAATTTCTAAAGAGCGATGTCTCCTTATTCCCTAATCAAAATGGTATTCTACATTGGGCTGCCCTTGAAAACTGCTCCGGAATCCCAACTGGTCCAAATGTAGATGCACAATCACGAACAGTTGCTAGACACACTGTGCCGGCACCGAGAACTACGCTTGCTGCCAGCTGCTTTCAGAATGGATTAAAGGTGCTCGTACTGACCTTCAGAGCTCTAAAAGACTCGGGACCAGAGTGCTTTGAGGATTGCTTCCTCTTTTCTAAGCCTCCTTGGGTAGCCTTATCTGTCTGAGGAGAATTTAGAATCAGGCAGAATTAGACTAGATAGTGCTATGAAGACCGCTTTTCTATTTTTTGCCCTCTTACAACATTTACATATCATTATCACCTCTCCTACAACATAATTTTCAGACATTAAAAACAAGAACTTTGAGCAATTTAGTGATAATCAGTTCATTAAGACCTGCCAGTAATTTTTAGCAAAGATTTCTGTTTATGATGGGTTCCCCGTACTGCACCCTGCTGGCAACATTGCCCGAAGGCCTCTGAAGGTCTGGGGAGTCCCAAGAAAAACCAAAAGGCAGGGGACTGAAGTGTTTGTGGGGAAATTGGTCAAAGAGTCCATCTTCTGTGCTGTCCTGCTTGACTCAATTGGAGCCACCCTGAGGTACCGGAACCACTAATGCAAGGTTATGTGTGAGAAAGCAGGACAGGGGCCTATCAATCTCACCAGGCCAAATCAGTCCAAACACATCTATGGAATGATAACGCAGCATCTAGCACAGCTTCTGACATTCTGATCAGCAAACTGGCTCAGGGTGGGCTGAATGGGACAAATATCAGGTGGCTCTGTGGTTGGCCCTGGAGTCAGACTCAGAGCATGCTTCTCAAAAGCACCTTCTCAGTGTGGGGAGAGGTAACGAGCGGGGTGCTACAGGGCTCTGCCTGGGCCCCAGTGCTGTTCAACACTTTTATTAATGACTGGAAAGCAGAAGCGCAGGGAACGCGGGTCAAATATGCAGATGACACAAAAGTGGGTAGGATGGCTAAGACCCTGGAAGACAGAAACAAGATCCAAGCTGCCCTCGATAAGCTGGAGCACTTGGCTGAAAGCAACAGAATAAAATTCAAATGGACAAATGCCAAGGTCTGCACCTAAGAAGAAAGGACCACAGGCACAGATGTGACATGTTTTGCCTCGAGGAGGCTGAGGGGAGGTGTGACAGCGCTCTGCAAGCACTTAAAGGGCTGTGGCAAAGAGAAAGGCCAGGACCTCTTCTCCATCATCCCAGAGCGCAAACATGGAGTAATGGGCTCTGATTCCAGTGCAGCATCAGCCAGTATTTCCTGACTGTTAGGGCAATACAACACTGGAACCCATGACCTGGGGAGGCGGTGGGCTCTTCCACGGTAGAGGCATTCAAGCGGCTGCTGGACAGCCCTCTGTTAGGAATGCTTTAACCGGAGTCCTGCATGAAGCGGGAGTTGGACTGGATGGTTTTACAGGCAGGGGCACCGCCCGGGAGGGCTGCTGGCCTGGGAACAGCAAAGGCTTCCCAAGCCTTGCGACGGTGGCAGATCCAGCCCTGCAGTTGCTCCCAGAGAATCTGTCTGAAAGGGCTACTGCCCACTGTGTAGCCACTGGCTCCTTCAAAGAAGGGGTGCTGCAGGCCGCAGCAGGGGAGCACCTTCTGCATCGACGTCAGGTACAGGTCTGGAAGACCTTGGAGAAATGTGGTGTGGATGGAGGGAGGGACTCCTTAGAACAGGATGGGGGGCTGAGATTGAAATCTTGACACGCCACATTGCGGGGCCTTTCAGTGGGTCTCCTAACGCTCAGGAGAAGCTGTTCGGAGGACGTGGTGGACCCTCACACATGGCTCCTCTGGGAACAACATAATGGAGTCGGGCACTTATCTGTGCATTACTGTCCTGTGTTGGAATACAGTTGTGCCCAATTCTCCAAGAACACCATTCCTCTACGTGCAGTTACCTTTTCCTGGATATTTTCATCCATGTTTGCCAAGGGAGACTTCTCATTTGGTGCATACAAAGAAGCAGGACTCTCTTTACAAAAGACATACCAGCTGGGAAGTCTGTTAAATAAGAGTATGATCCACACTTAATACAAACAAACTGACAGAGATTTACATCAGCGTTGGTGCCACGAAGGGACAAGAGTAGTCAAGAGTCAGCCTCCAAAAATCACAGAAGACAAAGCTAACATTTGAACTGACTTTGATTCTGAATGGAAAACCGAACTCAAGCTAACACGGCTGAATTCGAGGCACACCGGAGGGTGCTCTGGCACTCTGCTGCCCTCGTGGGCCTCCCTCCTGCCACGCCACGGCCGGCCATCATACAAGCAGGAGCCCAACTAGACAGGCCTTTCCTCTGATTTAGCCCTGCTCCTCCTATATTCTGAACAGTGGTGCTGTGCACGCTCATTTTATGATCGTACCCCGTCAACAAACCTCAGTTTAAGACCAGAGCCTCAGGCCGGCTCCGCCAAGACAGAAGGTTGAAGCGATCAGTAATGCAATGTATCAAGTTGTGCTAGCTTGCAGCACAGTTTCTGTGAAGCCAGTCTTCCTTGCTTTTTCAGGCCCAAATCAAGTCAGGCAGGATTGCGTACTTGAGGAAAGCAACTGTGAGTGAGTCGATTTAGGCCTCTTTGTTGCTTACATCAACTCTGGTAAGAAGGAAGTGCGACAGGTGGGTGCCTTCCTTATCCAGGGAGAGGGGTGCTGGAAGGGTTTCCCTCTGTTCCGTTTCCCATGTTTTGGCTGGGAAGCGTTCCCTCTGAAAGACCAGGTTCTTGGCTTTCCCTCAAGGCCAGCCCTGCTGGCACACCTGGATGCAGCTGCTGAGGGAGAGCGCTCCCTCCTGCGTTCCTCTCAGAATGGCAAGTGCGTAACTCAAGCCCTTCAGCTCTCCTTTCCTTGCATCCCTTGGTTTCAAGCTACAACCACAAAACCATGTACTAATTATAATGACTGATAATCGTGCTGCCAGCTGCAAACACACAAACTTAAAATCAGAGGCTGCACTGAAAACTCCAAACTGCTCCTCTTCATACGCAGGCTGTGCTTCAGGCAACACGTTTCACAGACTTGGAGGCACAGTGCTGATGAACAACCTGACACCCCCTTTTATTACAGGCTGGTTCATTCTGTGTCCTTTTTAAAAGTTTCAGTTTAAAGTACTTTAAGCACAATACTATTAAGTATGATATATAAATAAATGCCTTAACTCAAAACAAGCACATGCCTACTTGTTCTCAAGCAGTCAAAAATGTGGGCAAGGGAACCAAATGATATGTGAAAAGAACATGTTAGTCCAAAATGACTGCACCTCCTTAAGTAAGAATTAGCCCGGACCGAGATTTGCTGCACTGTTCCCATTAAAGGCTAATGGGTTACTGTGACATCGAACTAACAGACTGTGGCACTCGTCACGGCTACACTAATGACGTGTGCAGCTGCAGCGTTCGCGCTGGGTTCAGCAGTGCGCATGATAAACATCAAGGTGCAGTTATGCAAATGGCAGCACACGACGGCATCTCCCTGGGTTTTCCACAGGTGACTGTGATGACTTGGAACCACTGATGGCCCATGCCAATTACTGAGGGAAAAGTAGGCATTATTTCAAATAATTTTAGGCTACTCTTCAGCCATGACTTTCCAAACAGTCTGCAAATAGCTCCAGTAACAGAACATTTCCAGAAACGTAACATATGAAATAATATACCCTAAGAATATCAGTATACTCTAATTCTATATCCAATATGCACCCTCATACACTAGATGATCCAAATTAGGAAGCAGTATCAGGAAGAGATTTCATAACCTGAAAGGTCACCTGCTATTACTGGGGCAAAGACTGAGGTCAGGTTAACCTCTCCCTACCACTTTTCCAAGTACTGGTGATAACTAATAAACTGTTATCATTTTCCATCTAATACTTCTTGGGAGTCACAAACAACTTGAACACCCACCAACCCTTGGCCATGCTGATGGGATATAGAGTCCAACATCTGGAGGGCCACAGACACCCTGTACCTCACTGACAAAAAACACACGTCCTCCCTCCAAAAAAAAAAAAAAAAAAGTTGGTTATCTACAAATATTTCTTAATCAAGTGCCGCTTGCCCACCTGTCACACTCCCGGCCAGATGGTTAAACAGACTATATTTAGGAGTAGCCCTCTGTTTATCTGGTGCGGGACTTTCACACAGGTATCAAAACTAAGTCACAGTTTAAAAGCCGGTGCCATCTGCCCGCTCCTCCTGCTCTCAGTCTCATCCCGACAACAGCAATCCCGTGAGGCAGGCTGGGCTCAGAGACTGTGAGCGGCCCAAAGCCACCCGGCCAGGGCCATGGCTGAGCGGGAACCAGAACCAGGTCGCCTGAGTCCCCGTCCCATGAGCCTCACCACTGACTCTCTAGTGTGGCTTTGTATGCATGATGAGTTATTGTGTCATCTGAACTGAGACAGCCTTGGTGGATCTAGGAAAGCAGCAGGTTAGCTCCTCAACAGCAGCAGCAGCAGCACCCCCTCACACTTGCTGAGCTTCAGCAGGCTATGGACAGCCCCTCCAAGGATGCCCACCTGGCAATCTGGAGCGACCGTCACCAGCTCGGCGGCCCCCTTGCTGACAGTAAGCCCCTTTGAGCTCACCACTGCGTTCTTCAGCCATTCCCTCTGGGGTGACAACCAGGATAACCCTTCCAAGGAGTGTCGCTTGATCTGCCACCCTTTTTGCACACCCAAGAGTGTTCACATATAAACTTTTGCAATTTTTAGCAGAGACTTCCACGTGTACGGAGTTATGAAAAGGGGAACACTCACTTTCAGACGCCTCCAACCTTTACAGAAATCCAAATCTTTAGAAACCCTTACAAAGCGTAACTGCGCACATTCGGGAACCAAATCACCCAAAGAAAAGTCGGGAACTAGCGAGAGGCCCTCCCCAGTTCGCCCCTCGGAAAAGCCGCCCCCAAGGGAGGAGATGGGGAAACAAGCCGCGGGGAGCACAGCGGCGCCCACGGTCGGCGGGAGCCTCCCCGCGCCCCCTAAGACGAAGGCGGAAGCGCGGGCAGCCACCGACCCTCCGTCGCGCTGCTCAGGCGCAGCCCGCCCCGCGGGGCCCCCTCCCGCGGGGCGCGCCGAGCCCCTCGAGCGGCCAGGAGCCCTTCCCCTGCGCCGCCGCTCGGCGGGCCCCGCAGGAACGGGCTGCGCGGCGGGCGCGAGCCCCCTCCCCTCCCGACCCGGCCCGGCCCGGCCCGCGCGACGCAGCCTCACCCGAGCCAGCCGCCGAGCAGGACGCAGAAGGCCGGGAGCAGGAGCCACCGGGGCAGCTCCCTCATCGTCCCCCGCGTCTGCCTCCCCGGGCCTGCGGGCGGCGGCGCATCCTCCCGGCGGCGGGCGGTCGGTGCCGGCGGCGCGGGAGGGACGGGACGGCGCGCGGCTCAGGCGCCCCGCTGCCCCGCGCCCGCCTCGCCTCGCCTCGCCGGCCCGCGGCTGCTGCGCCGTTGCTCCCGCGGAGGCGGATGGAGGCGGCGGCGGCGGCGAGACGCGCGGCAGGCGGTTGTGACGCG